ACCACCATGTCTGGTTTTTTAAGCTTTTTGTAGAGAAGTGATCCAAAACATCTTTCAAATTCAGTTAATCATATATATGCCATTATTTGAAGTCTCTACCTAAGGAATGGTGCTCATCACTTCTCTTCTATATATAGTAGTATTGGTTTATATATTTCAAGGTGATTTTATTTAGCATGTAGATATTCTTGATGAATAAAATATTCTATTTTATTTAGCACACAGAGACATGAAAAAAAAAGTATCAACGTAAAAGAGTACAGAGGGTCTGCAACTTACAATGGTTCACCTAGATTTTTCAACTTTGTGATAGTGTGAAACTGTTGCAATTTGGATGTACTTCAAATTTTGAATTTTGATCTTCTCCTGGGCTTGCAATATGCAGTATATGAGATACGCAACACTTTCTTAAAAAATAGGCTTTGTGTTAGCTGATTTTGCCCAGTAGGCTAATGTGTTTTCAGCACATTTAAGGTAGGCTAGGCTAAGCTCAGATGTTCAGTAGGTAGGTATATTAAATGCATTTTCGACTTGAGATATTTTCTACTTACAAAAGGTTTATTGGGATGTAACTCTGTTGCGAGTTGAGGACCATCTGTATTATAAAATAACTTTCTTCTTCGTGTCTTTGTATTTTCAATTTTACTTTGCCTGATGTTTATTTGCTCTTTCCCCACCACCTCCTCTCCCGACTCATTGCACTGGGACTTTGCATTTGCTGGTATTTCTTGGTCAACTCTGCATTTGCAATTATTGTGTGTCATTTTGTCTTAGGCACATATCTTATAATCAGCATTTGTCCAGATTTTGCCTTTTCAGCCATTCCGAGAAAGATTTGGTCTTATTTCTATTTTTGTATTTATATATCGAACTTTGAAAATACAGTTGACCCTTAATCAACACAGGTTTGAACTGTGCAAGTCCATTTTTACGTGGATTTCCTTTCGCCTCTATCACCCCTGAGACAGCAAGACCAACCCCTCCTCTTCAGCCTACTCAATGTGAAGACGATGAGGATGTAGACCTTATTAATGATCCACTTCAACTTAATATTAACAAATAGCAAATATATTTTATCTTATGATTTTAATAGCATTTTCTTTTCTCTAGTTTTAAGAATACAGTATATGATACATATAATGTACAAAATATGTATTGATTGTTTATATTATTGGTAAATCTTCTGATCAAAGGTAGGCTATTAGTAGTTACCGTTTTGGAAAGTCAAAAGTTTCACTTGGATTATTTGACTGTGCCGGCGGTTGATACCCCTAACCCCCATGTTGTTCAAGGGCTAACTGTATAGCCTTTTATTTTGCTATCTTTTGCAATAATGATCAAGTTTCATCTCTTCTACAGCACCCTGTATATAATCTCTGTTGGATTCCATTTGCTTCCAGTAATTTGATTGATTGAATGATTGATACACCCAGCCTTCTTTGAAAGTGAAGCATTTTTGACACATATTCAGCCTCCAGTCCCACCCTTCCCCGACTCCTCTTTTGTGCTGCTGCCTGTGTGACAGTCGTGATCTTAAAATGCAAATATGGTCATGCCGTTTACCCAGGTAAAATGTGCCAGTGGTTCTTGATCACATAAAGAATATATTTCCAACTTCTTGGCAAGACAGTCAAGATTCTTTACATTTTTTTCCCATCTTATCTTATCTTCTCTCTCCCATATTCCTCTCTGTTCTCCAGCCATGAAAGTTTCCTCTTTCTAATGCCTCAAGTGGTTAGGGTATTTTTTTATATGCGTTTACAGCATACACTCTTACCTCCCCACTGGAATTTATTTTAAATTGTGGTTTTATTGCATTACCTCCAATCCTTAATTCAAGAAGTATATCAAAATTCTTAAATTTTCCACCCTTCCTTTCTCTTTCTCATTTTTCTTTACCATAAAACAGACTGAATTGGTTGAAAAACAGTCCGGCATATCTACAGGTTCTGCATCCTTAGATTTAACCAACTGAGACTGAAAATATTTGGGGAAACAAACAATAAAAAACGTAATACAAACTCTAAATTTTGAAAATGATAGAGTATAAGCTATTTGTGTCACACTGACATTGTATTAGGTATTATAAACAATCTAGAGATGATATAAAATATATAGGAGGATATGCATAAGTTATATGCAAATATGATGCCATTTTATATAAGGGACTTGAGCATCCTGGGTTTCGGTATCCATAGGCTCCTGAAACCAATCCCCCATGGATCTTGAGGGATTGATCGCATATCATCTAGTTAAGCTATGCTAAAGATCCCTCCCTCAAACCACCGTGGATAACAGAGGAAAGGAAGGAAAGGGAAGGGACGGGGAGGGTAGGGGACTTCCTTTTGAGCAGTGACAGTTTTCAGCCACCTCACGTATAATCCTCACAAGTAATAACATTTCCATTATAAATGAGTAACAGGCACACAGTAAATGATTTGCCTCAAATTATCTGTTTGGAGAAGTTCACCAAATGCACACTATCTCATTATTTCATCTCATTACTGTTCCTCCTCTCTTCCTGATTTTTGCTCACAGCCCTCTTACCTATTCTAGGAACTCAGGAGTCCTCTGCAGTCTTCTCTCTCTCTCACCCCCATGCTAATGAGGTCTTCGCTTCTCTTTAATAACTTTACCCTCCTCCCCATTTCTATTGCTACTACCAAATTCTAGGCTCAAATAATGCTGGCTTGGGATTATTTCAAAAATCTCCTTGCTAATATTTCTGCTTCCAGTTTTCTCCCACTTCAAGTTTGCCCCAACAAGGCTGTTTTGTATCTGCGATATTTCTGAATGGCAAATCTGACATCACACCTCTTAATGCACTCTCTTTTGCCCTCAAGTAAACATCCTTGCCAACTCTGTCAGGATTTTCAGGATTTGTGCTTTTCTTCCTCTGCAGTGTTATCACCCTTTGCTCTCTCATAAGCATCCTGCACAGCAACCACATCGAATGACCTACAGATTATTGAGTTGTTCGTGATCAGCCTGCCTCCATGCTTTGTTCGCACTTTGTTCTACTTAGGTTTCTCTCTTACATGGTGAACATCCCTTTTTCAAGATCTTACTCAAGTTTCTACTCCTCTCTTGCTTTCCCTTATACCATTTTGGAAAGTGTTGGTCACAACTTCCTTTCTACTATTCTACCTTGTACCTATTTATATAATGCTATTTACCACACTGTGCTGCAACTTTTTGGTTTTATATTTGACTAAGTTGCTTGTCATTTCCCTGACTTGATAAATTTTGTTCTCATTTTTACAAATGTTAATTTTACAAATTTTGTTCTTGTTGAGTTCCTAGGGCCTATCTCTAAGCACACTTTTGATTATTGAATGGATATTTCATTCCCCTTAAAATGAAAGGTGTTAATTGTATTTTCATAACTAAAACAAAATGGATGAAAGGTATGCATGTCACTGGGGACACCCACTGCTTTGTTCACTGTAAAAGCAGGTGGACAGGACATGCTGTAGTTGATAACTGAAGGATGGCTTAGAATGGACTTGCAATTAGACTCAGGAAATATTCAGCCTTGCACTTTTTCTTTTGCAATTACTATTAGCTTTCCCTGCCCTTAAATGTTGTCACAGAGGTTTGAGAGGCCAATTCATTCTCCTTCCTCCTATGTGTTCTGAACAAGAATAAGATAGGAATTTAAAAATCAGCAGATTCAAATTATCAGTTTTATTTTGAGCAAGGCGAATGGGAGAACGCAACTTGGACTTCATGACATCAGTCTTCCTACTTTACTTCTGCCTTGGATTTGGCTGAATTGCCCAGGCTTAGGAAACTGCAGGCAACAGGAGATGAGTTGGAGGCGGTAGGCTTATTGCATGGGAAAAAAGCCTTGGGCAGCCTGGAGAGAGAAGGTGAGGTGGCCAAATATGGGCAACAATCCTTCCCCACATGGTCACAAAATGAAGGGAAACAGATGGCATACTCTTCAGATCTCACAGGTCCAAAGGATGGTCTAGGGAGGAGCTGGAGAACGCTGCCTTTTATAGTCCTGAAAAGGTTTCTTTCTATTAAATGCACCAAAGCCGGAGTGCCAGAAGAGAGAGGGGCTGGATCTTCCCAGCCAAGGTCACAGGACAGATACATTTCTTAAATCCAGAGTCTCAGGACCTCAGAGATCCTGGTCCAGAAAATTCCCTTTTTCATGGATTGGATCTTGTTAACCCGTAAGTAAAAAATAATATGACTTTGTTTGCTTTCTTTGACCTAATAGTTACTGTTTTATCATGATGATGGGTAGATTAATAAATGCTCTTGACAGCAAGTACATGTTAATAACATCGAAGCTTAATGATCAACGAATTAACAGCTCAACACTCAGGTGTGAGTGCTCTGATGGGAAGAAGGAACCCCTGTGAATGGCTTTGGATTGCAAAGGACTTTTTCCTGCAATGCATGCAGTGCTCTGGACCATATCATCTCAACCCAGGTCAATCTGTAATTGCACATCCTGATGACGGTAAAGAGCAATGACCTGGATGCTTCCACAGCTTGTGCTGTGAGGCCAGAGTGGCTTGTGCTGCACCACGCTTAATACTGCACCTTGGACCCTTCTGACATCCCTCCCAGGGCTGGAAGTTTACAATCCTGATAATGCCTCCAGTGGAAATGACCTAAGAAACATCCTTTGCTGGGCTCTGACCCATAATTAATCCACAGGTAGATTTATTTAGTTCTGGCTTAATTTATTTCAGGTCTGTGGGTTTGCATTCTTTTCACTGCTAAATGTACTTCCTCAAAGTTGCGATGTGTTTAATTTGACCCACTCTATAAATTACATCATGGTAAGAAAGAAAAAGAAGAGAAAGTCATGGTCAAGAGACAACAATGTAAAAGGGATAGATATTTTCATACAGTGGGTCTGATTTTCTCAGTGAGTAGAGATGGTCTTCTTAGAAGTAACATTCTCCACTGATGCTCTGAGCCTATGGTGACCTAGTAAAGGTGGAGGGTTTCCCACAGCAGTGTTTTTCAAACCAATGTACATACACATCACCCAATTCAGCAGGTCTGGGGCAGAGCTGAAGAGCTGGCATCTCCAACAAGCTCCTAGGTGATGCTGATGACTTAGTAGCAAGAACCTAAGTTACTAAATCAAAACACCAGCTCCCCAAATCATCACAATCCATTTTATTCCACAGCATGTTTAAGGGAATGTTATTTTCAGGAAGATGTTTGGGATTAAAATAATTAAAAAAAAACTGGAAATTCACACATTTATGTATCTCTTCTTTTCATTAAATATATATCTGTTTGGCAAAAAATGTTAGACTCTTTTGTACAAAAACAAAGCCAAAAAAAAAAAAAAAAAAAACACTAACCCAAAACTCTTGCAAATTGTAAATACCAGTAATAATTACAATGATGTAAACTTGGATGTCTGACAGTTTGACCATCCTGTGGAACTCATGTTGCAGCAGGACCTCCCAGGAGAAGGTAACACCAAACCCTTGGATAGCAACAGCCTGTCCTAGAGGCATTTAGGTTTAGTCTATTAGAGATGGAGCGAGACTACTGATTTCACCATTTGTGCTTTCAGCTAAAAGGCTGGGAGTGTGGGTGGAAATGAAGAAGGCAGTTCTGGCCTGGGGCAGGGAGAGGAAACCCTAGACTAGCTGGTGAGGAGGGAAGATTTGTCACGATCACAGTGCAGACGCAAAGTGGGCGTGGGACCCGTGGACTGTTCGGGAAACTGATGCTAGGGAGGATCACGAGGAGGCTGCGGCTGCTGCTCTTGGGACCAAAGAGGAACAGAGCAAGGCAAAAGCAGGGAGGGAGGTGGGAGGAGATTTGAGCGCAGATCTCAATTCAAGTGGAACTGGTGGTACGAGATGATTCTAGAGAGAGGGGAAAGGAGGATGTGGGGTTTGGTCTTCTTACCAAATAGCTGGGCCATTTCCTCCAGACAGGGGCCGTGGGGCACCCCCCTTGGTCTGGTGGGCAAGTTTTGGGGCAGTCTGGGGCTGCTGGCTTTCCTGCCACGGGGAAGGAAGGGCATGCCTGCGGGGGGCTAGGATGGAAGGGTCCTTTGGCCTTCTTACTAGCAGTAGGCTTTGCTCTTGTCCCACCGGTGGACTGCAGCCATGGGAAGTGACCTGAAGCACTGGAGCCGAGGAACAGAATCAGGGTGGTGAGCAAGATGCCAGCTAGGGGCTGAAAGTTGCCGGGGTTAGAGGTGATGTTGAAGGGAATGTGGACCCACAGCTTCCCTTTACCAAAGGAGGGTTCCAAGGCGTGGGCGTGTTTTCATTCCTCTCTCCTGTTAGCTAGGTGTTCCAGTTTTGGAAGGGGCGTGTCTGGGCCCGGCCACTTCAGTTACAGTCATAGACGAAGTCATAGTTGCTGGGCTCCTTGGGAATCGGCGGAGGTGCATCAGGGATCTGGATGTTTTCCAGGTCCAGTAGGCGGAGCTTGATTTCCATGCTAAGCAGGGTGTCCAGGTCATTCCGCGTCAGGTCGCTCATCATGTCCTTCCCGAGTAGCGCATTCAGTCCATCCGTCCAGATACAGTACTGGCAGGAAGGGAGGCAACAGCGATCATTACTCGTGGCAATTGCAGAAGTATTAATAGTAAAAATAGCTAACAGTGAATACTCATCACTCAGTAGGCTCTGCGCTAAGTGTTCTGCCTACTTCGTCATTTCATATTCACAACATCTCAATATAAAGTCAATACTTCTGTTATCATCTCTGTTTTATAGGTGAAGGAACTGAGGTATGGAGAAGTTAAGTGACTCAGTATTACATAGGCTGGGTGGGATTTGAACCCAGGCAATCTGACTCCAGTGCCTGTGCTCTTCTCTGCAAAGAATGGCTGTCCGTAACAGCTGAGGACTGGACTTCTCCATGACTTGCAATGTAACACCTATGTGGTAGTCTATGACTTTTAGGTATTGGTGGAATCTACCAGTCCTGGACTCAACGTCAGGTGAAGCTGGCTTCTTTCTGACTCCAGTCATGGCTCCTAGTCTAGTAGCTCATCTCGGCCTGTCTTGTCTGACTCCTAGCATTCACAGTGACAGCCCTGTCCCACCCTGGAGCCAATGGCCAACAGTAGTCCCACCTTGGTGTTTCTCAGCTAAAGGGCTAGGAAATAGCCTTCTGCTGCCCAGTGTCTGGCAGCCAAAATGGTTAAAATTATTGGGCAATCTTAATGGGAGGAGGGTTGGCTGCCTGTCTGGGGACCTCTTTAGCCTTTGTCTTCAGTTCCTAAGGTTTCTTTTCACCAGGTCTCTGGGGCCTGATCCCTGGGGACATTATCTGTTTTGGAAAGACCTTCGGAGTCCCCAACTAAGAGTCTGATTCTTCTCCTCTCATAACCTTTTGTCTCTCCAGGAGACTATGATCTCTCTGAGGGAGAAGGAGGAACGGTGCCTTGTCTGAGGACCTGCTTTTCTCGTTAGCTTCCCTCCCAGAGGCTGGAGTTCTGTACTGACCTGGACAGAGAACCATGACACCTGGTGAAAGAGGCACCCCTGCTGCATCTCAGAAAGCTGCTTGGCATTCTGGATGCTGGGCTCCACTCACACACTCGAGTTAGGTTTCTAACAGTCCTGTATAGGATTCTATAACAGCAATTGTTCTCCTATTTTGTTCAAGTGATCTTCCTTCTACCATGCACTTCAGATTCCCAACTTTTCTGCCTCACTAGGTCAAGTGGCAATTCCAGACCCTCCTTAACCTACTTTGGCACTGTGGTTATCTGGACTGTATTCCATGGTAGCAGATCTCAACATAAAGGTACCCAAAGTATACAGAAAAACACTATATAAATCTCCAGATGTGATAGAAATCTTCCGTGATGCACATCGGTGGTCCTACTTTTTAAGCTGAGGAGGTGCACAATGGGTGTATTCTGAGATCCGTGTTTGAGGAGGGCAGCGTTGATTTGGAGGGCTTTCGTTCTACCGTGGTTAGGTGATCTCAGCCAAAGCATTTAACCCATCGAAACATCAATTTCGTGTTAAGGGATTTCTGGAAGAATTAGTGTCCTCATGATCTGACTCTGAACATGTCTAACCATCCATTTCTGCAGTGCGTTTCTTTTTAGAAACAACAGGCACAGAAAATTTTATTTGAAAGTACATAGACCAATAAATAAAAACCCTGTAGTATTGATACTGAATTTGAGTTGGAACTATCAGTATCAATTCATTATGTAGTTTATCTTAAAAAAAAAACCCTCCTAGCTCTGTCCCCAAAAAGGGCTAAAAAATAAAATAATGACCAACCAAGAACCATTGCACCATGGTGTGCAATGACCATAAACACACCTCATGCTTAGATTCTGGTCACTAAATATCATTTCCCACTACAAGTAATAAAGGCTCCACAGAGAAAAGGCAGGAAACAAAGATAAACCTGGAGCACGCCATCATACCAGAATGCCAGAAAGTTGTCAAAGACATAAGGGGTCCTCCCAATAGGACTCAGATGCCAACCCAATGGTGTTCCTATTTATTCCAGACCAGATAACTTAGAAACTAATAATGACAGTAACTGCAACATATTGAGACATAATTCTGTTTAAATGCATGATTTCCTACTCAACCCCTGACCCCAAATGCCTCACTGTTCTTCTTTGAAAGACATTATTTTGAAAACTGGTAAAGAGAATCAAGTATTTATCCTGCCTACCATATGTAAACTGTATAACTTTAGGATAACCAAATAGTTGATGAGGCCGGTTTCTCTCTATCCCTTTAATAAATAAAGAAGGAATTATAAAATTAGGATATCAACCTTTTGCAACCTCTAATTGTTCCAAGGATCCAGACAACAATCATCAGCACCTGCTAACATCCAAGAAAGGGGAGCAAGAAGTCACCATGAAAGTACAAACACCACCGCTACTGCTTAGAAAGGGAGCCTGAATTTGATTAATCCTTTAACTACAATTCATAGGACATACAGGGGACAGATGAATATATGAATTATATTGCAGGTTGTGGTGAGAACAATAATACCCGCCTTCCAAAGATACCCACATCCTACTCCCTGGATCCTGAGAATATGTCAGGTTCTGTGGAAAAGGGACTTAAGGTTGCTATCCGCTGACCTTAAAATAGAGAGATGATCTTGGATTATCCAAGCAGGCCCAATGTAATCCCAGAGGTCCTTAAAAGTGAGAGAAGGAAACAGAAGAAGAGTCAGAGTCAGAGAAGTGAGAGGAAGAGGCAGATCTGACTATGGAAGAGGAGGCTGAAGTGATGTGATGAAAAAGGTTCAACCGGCCATTGCAATGGATGGAGGCCAAAGAGTGCAGGTGGACTCTTGAGTGAAAAAGACAAGGGAAAATTCTTCCCTAGAGCCTCCAGAAAGGAACACAGCCCTGCTGACACCTTGATTTCAGCCCAGGATACTCACATTTGGCTTTTGAAGTCCAGAATTGGAAGATAATAAATTTGTGTTCTTTAACATTAAATTTGTGGCAGTTTGTTACAATAGCAACAGTAAGCTAATACATAAACTTATAATCAGCACAGTCTAGACTATTAACATTACAGGTTTAATGACCTGTTTTTCCCAATAAATAAATTTCAAGGAAAAAAGGCACATGCTCATGATTGTGAGAGACAGAGAAAGAGAAATCTGTAGATTCAGAGAAACCTAAGAAACATGTCAACCAACTGCTACGCATGGATCTTATTTGCATTCTGACTTGATCAAAGTATGAAAGAAAAAAACACACAAATGAGACAATTAGCGAAATCTGAAAACTGACGGCACATGGTTTAATAAATAAATACCACATTATTAATTTATTTGTGATCAGGGTATTGCAGTTACAGATTTTAAATTGAGTCTTTATTATTGGGAGATGCATACAGGAATATTTATACATAAAGTGATATCCAGATTTGCTTCAAAATAATCATGGGTGATGGTGGAAGAGTAGATGGGAGCACAGATGAACCAGATTGGCCATGAGTTGGTGACTGCAGAAGCTGAGTGATGGGCCTGCCAGGAATGTGCGAGCTCAGTGCCTGCTCCTTCTCTTCCTAGCTCCACAGTGTAGGGGTTAAGTGAGGGGCTTCTGGAGCAAGGCTGCCGGTGTTTAAATCCCAGCTCCGTCTCTTACTACTTGTGTGACCCTGAACACGTTTCTGAAGCTCTCTTGCCTCATTTCCCTCTTTTAGTAAATGGGGATTCTTTCAGAGTTATATGAGGGTTAACTGGGGTGAAATATACATATAAAGCATTAATGGTGCCTGGCAGAGAGTAAGCCAGGGTCGTTATACTTATAGTTGACCCTTGAACAACATGGGTTTTAACTGTGTGGGTCACTTATACATGGATTTTTTTTTTTTCAATAAAACTTACACCAAGTGTGCCTGTCTCTCCTGCTTCCCCTTCCACCTCTTCCACCTCTCTAGCCTCTGCCACCCCTGAGACCTCAAGACCAACCTGTCCTCTTCCTTCTCCTCATCCTACTCAATGTGAAGACAACAAGGATGAAGACCTTTATGATGATTCTCTTCCACTTAATGAATAGTAAACATATTTTCTCTTCCTTATGATTTTCTTAACATTTTCTTTTCCCTAGCTTACCTTATGGTAAGAATACAGTATATAATACACATAACATACAAAATGTGTGTGAATCAACTGCTTATGCTATGGGGAAGTCTTCTTTCTGGTCAACAGTGGGCTATCAACAGTTAAGTTTTTGGGGAGTAAAAAGTTATGGGCAGATTTTCAACTGTGTGGGGGGTCAGTGCCCATAACCCCCATGCTGTTCAAGGGCAACTGTATTAACCTTTCTATTGTTGAAGGTATTCAGTTCTGGGAGGTCTCTCCCTGCTCATTTGATAAATGAGAATGTCTGTAATAGAACTTTCTATTGTATGTTGCAATTATGGAAATAAAATGAGGTAATAGAGAGGAAAGTGGTCTGAAGTAATTAAAAGTGTTCACAAGCATATGGCATTTTTCTCTTCATTGTATCTATAAGAAGTGGCAGATATGAATAAAAATCTGGCAGTCCCAGAGCATTTATCTTGATCTGGAATTAATGTACACTGGGGAAAACAGCCTTGCATAGATTTAAATAACATCCAAAGTTCTACTATTTTAAGTAGTTTTGTATACAGCTCTATACATCTTGAATATGGTGGCCTGTGTAGAACCACAATTTTATTTAAAAACAGAAACAGTAGGACACAGTATCTATTTTCAGAAAGATGAAGACAAAGTCTTACCCTTCAGCAAACTAAATGTCAAGTGACACAGAATTATATTTAAGCACCATTCTAAATGCAGGATTTGTGTCTAATCTTTCCTCTCTCTTTGGGATATACAATGTTATTCAAAAGCTTCAAACCAGTGAAAACCAGATACTGAATAACTTCTAAATGAGCTAAATGTCCTAGGGGAAATGGGGAACAAAAATCAGATTCTATTAAAATGTTCTCTTCCTTTCTAAAAGCTGTTTATGCAACCACATGCAAAACAAAAATTTGAATGGTATCATCTAAAAATAAAAGTTTCAGGCATGATGTTGGGTTCCAGTTTATAAAAGAAAGTTAAATCAGCCATAACTGCCACTTTATCTTACAAATGCATTTTCCTAGATTTATGCTAAATATTTTAAATATAGCTGACAGCGTGCTGCAAGAAGAGAAACAAATTATACATATAACAAGATGTCAGAAAGGAATAAAAGCATCTCGAAAATAAAATCCCAACAGCAGAGACAGCCCTAAACCTCTTAAAATAGCTTAAAGAAATTTGGTAGAAAACCTACTTCCTCAGATGTTTTAAAGAAGAGAGACCAGTTTATCTTGGGAAAATCCAGACCAAAAACGAAAAATTCAATGAAAACCAAAGCTGTAACCAGGGCCGCTTCTTTCTCTGGATTAACAACTATGCCTTTGCTGCATTTGAGGCCTTTTACACCCTTTTTCTTTACCAGGCTACTAAGAAGTTGAATCTGTTGCAAGGGGCAGTTCATCAAGAGGTTTCTATTCTACTCCAAGTCAGCAAGATGCCCCTTGGTGCGTCATTTTTTTAGGCAGGTCTATTTTTCTTAAGCGAAATTTCTTTCTTTTTAATATTTTCTCAAGAAAAGATTACATTCTCTCATAAATTATCCCCCCTGAGACCCTTACCTCATGCTTGTCAGGAGCGATGAAGTTCAGTTGGCAGTTTGAGTCATACAAGATGGAGAAAGCGAGTTCAAGCACCTCCTACAAGAGATGAGAGAAAACAGCACCTTAAGGAAAATCGGCACATTTCATTTTGCTGTTGCAAATGGCTGCACATTGACCATGGAATAGGGCCAGCTTGTCTAGACAAGCAGAGCTGCAATGAGGCTGATGGAAGGAGGAACCATGTTCTTCAAGGTTCACAGCATGATTCCTTCTCTCCATTCAGGGCGGTCTGTGTACCATCTCATTTAATTCACATGCAGCCCATGTAGCAAGTGTTTTCATCCCCTTTATGAGGCGGGGCTTAGAGAGGTTCAATGAGTGTCCAAGGTGACGGCCCCCGCCTCCGCCACCAAAACTGTGTTATTCTCCTTTCTTTGCATCTCCCTTCCAGAGAGGCCACAAAAAAACAGTAAACTCCCAATCAACAGCATTAAGGACTGTCCTTCCTTCTATCATCCTAAGACAGACAGAGAGGCCCACTGAGGTACGAATTCCCTAAAATGTGGACGCTATGCCAGCTGTAAGGAGGCTTCTAGGTGAACCCATTATCTTTACATCTGTCCTTTGACCTCTGAGCTACTGTACAGTAAAGGCTACACAAAGCTTAGGTTTTACCCAGCAGAGACTCCAAGGTATGATCAAGAAGCATGGTCTCACTCATTGGTGATCACTTATGGAGTACACACAATTAGCCAGGCCCCAAAGGTCCAGGGACCAAGTGACATTTTCATTTCATTGCAGATGAATGACCAATGGCCAAGGCACTCAGTGTCATGTCTAATATGTACATTAAACCACACTTCTCAGACTGTACATGCTGTACCAATACTGGGTAGCACGATCATTCTAGTGGTCTGAGTGGTCAGCAGAAGATGAGAATCATCAGCTCATCTCAGCATCCTGAGGACTCCTAGTCTGCAGGGGAAGGGCCAAGTGTATCCAAACCAATGCTCTACACTGTTCCAGCATGGAGGCTCTAGTATGCCTTCCTTCTCTGTGCTTCTATTAGGCACCAGGGATGACCATCCCTCGACCCTCCTGTGATCTGCGAGCCATATTGCTCAGTAATTGCGCACAAAGCATTCTTTCTTAGGGAGCCAGATCTCTTCACATCATTCTCTACCTTGATATCTGTTAGAGAGTTTGTCTTTCACCTGTGACTCACAGCAAAAATGCCCCAGAAAGATAAAAGGCAAAAAGATGAGGTCAGTGCCTACAGATTTCAGAATTTCAGACAGATTAAAGAATTATTCCAAAGTGGCTGCATCCCTCTCCCGACACAGTCCATCATCTAACTATTTCTGGCTCTCGTGGAGTTCTCAGTGTCTGGTTCACCTCCAGCTGTCCCTCAATGAGAGGTGGCAGGACTTGTTCTGAGGATAGACCTACCAGCATCTCACATTCAAAAGGTCTCCTCACCTTGACAGAAATAGAAACAAGGGAAGGAAAGAATGCTGAGTCGTGGAATGGGAGCTATTCTGCAAAAATGCTCTCCTCATTTTCTATTCTTCTTCTTTAGGCCCTGACTCAGGCCTACCCAGTAAAGACAATAATGTAAAAAGGAAGTTTGCTGAAACAAGCAAACAAAAACAATTTGCCATTAAGTACAGCATCTGTTTCCATAATCATCTCTCTTGGGACTTTTAATTTATAAATTAAAAGAGTCACAGACTGACTATTAGTACTATAAATTCATATCATCCTTTAAAAAATCAGTATGAAAATACATATCAAGAACCAGAGATGCTATGCCTGAGATAATTTCAAAAGAAAAATTCAAAAGAAAGCAAAAGCCAAATATTATTATCTGAAAGAACATTATGAGAAACTAACCTCTCCCTCTTTTGGGTAATAAAGATATTATAAATTAGCCACCAAGGGAAATATATTTGGCCAATCATTCAGTAAGATAATTATGGGGAGCCGAAGTTAAGTGGAGAAAAGCATGAGACATGAACACCGTGTACACACTGATCACAATTATGAATAATTCCTACCTAAGGACAGACACTGGAAAGAAATATGGGAAATGAAAATAATTATGGTAAAGTGATAGGTCATAGGTCATTATCTCTTCTTACAACTGTTTTTCCAACAAAATGCTATGCTATAATTTCAAAAATTCATAAAAATTGTTCTCAGATTTGGCATGTTCATTAAAATGACAATTTCTTCACTAATCTTGGAGTCATTTATTAGGCAAACTCTCTGACTCATACTTGAGAGACTGGAGAAAAAGGAGGGAGTGAACTTTGCTTCTGAACAACCAGTCAGGATATTACACTGGCGTGAGGGGGCCCTCGGAGGTAAACAGGAAAAGGTAAAGTTCATCCAGGTCCCTTTGGGCTGACCCTGGGTGACAAGTGCCTGACTGCTCAGGGAGATCACATGGCCAATCACCCCTGGCTGACAAGAGCCGGTGTGAACAGCACCGCAGCCCAGACGTGCTCCCGACAGGATGCTGAAGTCACTCGAGACCGGAGTGTCAGCATGGTTACTGCTGTGATGCTTTCTCTTCTGCAGGGGGATGGAGAAGGAAGGAAAAGGAGGGAGCATGCGAACTTTGGGCTTTGCCCTTCTATGACATATACCACTCACGACGTGAATGATCGGAACTGTCATGACCTAGATTCCTGATAAACACAGGCAGGAAATGGGAAATTCGTGAGAATGTCAATTCCCACTTTAATTTCACCAAAGCTGCCTGGGAGGGGGTGGGAGGAATTAATTCTCTGAGCTGCATGTCTGTGTTAAAGGGTGCTATCGCTTATAATGGGTTTTATTGATGTCTCTGGCTTGCTGTTGTTGAGTCATTGGTGAAGGTCAGCTCTTCAGCACTTGGAGCAGGGAGGCTGCAGAGCCAGGAGCAATGGCACCTCTCAGGCTAACACTCCAGAAGCTGCCACCTGTCCACACCGTCCATGAGGGAGAAGGTGCCAGGTGGTGGAGGAGTAGACTGTCACTGATCTGTGTCCCCCTCAGGGCCTACTTGCCTCCACACACCACAACACTCACTTAGACATTGAATGCTCAGGGGCTTTGTTGCTCATGACTGAAACTCTTTTATTCCTCTGGTTTTAATGCAGTGAAAAATTACATCTAGAAGCAGCTTCTCTCCATTCTCCGCTGCACTGATGCCTGCTTGCCACCTTGTCATGTGGAGGAAGCCTGAGTTCTAGGGAAAGTGGAGGCAGAGGAAACCGAACATCCTTCCATGCCCTGAGGCCCCTGACCTTTGTACTCAACACTCTGGCCCTGGGACAGATGACAAGGCACACTGTGTCAGCGGATGCTCAGCAAAATGGTTCCTGGGTTTGGGGACTGCCATCTTCCATGGGTCAAATGAGGAACTGATTGATGACAAGAGTAGAGTTCTATGCAACACATTTTCAGTGTGCAGTGTTGGCTGTCAATCCTTATGTTGTTTGAGGGCAACTCACCACATTTGGCCATTTTGCTAGCATTCACTTAACTACGCTGGTTCTCTATTTATCTAGGTCATCATGAAGGCAAAACCTTTTGATAAAAGACACAGGATATAACTTGGCATGTGTGTGGGTGTTAAATTATGGTCACAGAAATAACAGTAGATTTCAGAGCTATAGTGTATTACTGCCCAGATATCTATGAATTTGAGTTTCTATTTTAGAAGGCAAAAACCACTCATTCATGTAGTACACAACAGAGATTACCTTCTTCAGGTAGTTATAACTCTCCAGCCCCCATCTATCTTAGCAGCATAACTGGCCAAGAGTTCTCCAACTCATATTGTTCTCCTCATCCCCATCCATCCTATACTCTGAATTCAGTGTTTCCCAATTAGAGGATGCTGTTCACATGAGTAAAGGCCCTTGTGCCTTTTCAGACTGTTTCCTCCTCTTGGAAAGTCTTCTCCTCACTTCTCTCCCTGGCCAATTCCTTTTCAAAAGCTAGATCAGATGCCATTTCCGGCATCGGCCTTTCTCAATTCTTCCAGGTTCCCTCTGTGTTTAATTTTTTTTGGCATAAACATATTGAATTGTAATTGCATATTTAAATATAAATCTTATCTACTGGACACCTAGGGCCAGAGTCCAGGTCATATTTATCTTTGGATTCCTGGCACCTAGGACAAAGGAGATGCTCAATACATTGCTGACTGAATGAATGAGCAGATGATGAATGAAGTAAATGTGAATAAAGGGCTTTCTGGTTAAGATCAGCATTTTCAAACTGATGTAAGGACATCAGCTTCAGTAGAATATGCTTCTTATTTCAGGTTTAAGCACCACACTAGAAAAACAAATGCTTAATTCTGGCAAATAGGAAGATGGAAGCCTCTCATACACCAAATATACTCCTATCTGAATCAATGAATCTTCACTCGGGTGGTTTCATGTTGACTGTTGAACTAAAAGCCCCCAATCCAGTCAAACAAGTACCAAGAATGCCCACCTTAAAGCACACAGCCACAAACCAACTTATTTTTATAGAGTTTGACTTTAGAATCCTTAATCCTTATAAATCTAAACTTTCCAACTGAATTTCCATCTACTCATAGCAATTCTTTTCAAGTCTCAATGAGAAATTTTCTGATCCTTGTGTGAAGAACCCAGCATTTCTTGTCTCCATAAAAATGTGCCTGCTGCACTGACCTCTGTTAAACATAGTAGACTCTCAGCTCCAGAAAGACAGGACCTCGGCTACCCCATTTACATCCTATGCTATTTCAGGCACTCCCATGCTGGCTGACTGGATGACTGACTACATGAACAAATGCCTCTGCAGCAGACACCCCAAGGGAAAGGACCAATTTTCTTCTTTCTGTTCTCAGGGCCCTGCTGGGAACATCAGCAGAGACTGAGTGGGTGAGAGGATGATCAGTTACCAACACTCTGCCATTAACGAACTATCTCCTTTACTGATGCCAATGTCTCAGTTTGCCTTGCTCGGTCATTAAGTTAACCATGGGTCTCATGGTACAAAATGTCAAAAGCTGTTCCACAGCTGGAAACACTGTCCAAAGAGCCAGCAATTTGCCTTGGTTATCGTCCATCCACTGTGCACTGACAGACCTCTTATGAACACATTTTGGTCGATTCTCCTTTTAGGCTGCAGGTCCCCCTTTCCTACCCAGAAATCTCAGAGGTAGACAGGGGGGCACCTCTGGAGTACGGGGAAAGAGGTGTGGGTTGGGGGGTCCAGCAGGTAAAATTGTGGCTTTCCTTCTACCTTTTGATATTTTTGCTTGATGACATGGTATATATGAATGCTATTAACATCGCAAGACAAGTAAATTCCATATATTTGCCAATTAAAGGGCCAGGCTGCTTGAAATTCTGCTAGTATCATCCCTCATGTCAGACTGGAAGGGCCCAGGGTAGCTAGAAATATGGGCCAGTGAGTCCCAGGAAGTAGCCTCTATTTGCAGTCTTATCTGTTTACAGTAGCATACTCCATCCATCCATCATCCTCCAGCTGTCCATCCATCATCCATCTATCCATCATCATCCATCCTATGTTTTATGAGTGTCATGACAATACGTGAAAAATAAAGGTTGCAAAACATCATTTACTCGGTTTTACTTTTTTAGTCTCCTTTAAGTAGAGAGGAGTCTGATACAAGAAGGCCAAATATACTACCTCACATGTTCAAATGAAATCATTTCCACATCTGTTATATTGGTGACTCTCATTTTTTTCTTGGTTGGCCAGGCTAAAAGTTTATCAATTTTATTCATCTTTTCAAAGTACCAGTTTTTGGTTTTGATTTTCTCTACTGATTTCAGTTTCATTGATTTCTACTCTAAATTTTATTATTTCTTTTTTTTTCTGCTTGCTTTAAGCTTAAATTGCTCTCCTTTCTTAGTGTCCTAAGGTGGAAGCTTTATTGATTTTAGTTATTTTTTCTTTTCTAATGTAGTCATTCAATGCTATAAATTTCCCTCTAAGCACTGCCTTCGCTGCATCCCACACATTTTGGTAAGCTGGATTTTCATTTTATTTAGTTTGAAACATTGTGCAATTTCTCTTGGGAATTCTTCCTGGAACTGTGGGTTATTTAGAAGTGTGTTGCTAAATTTCTAAATATTTGGGGGATTTTCCAGCTGTCTTTCTGCTACTGATTTCTAGTTTAATTCCACTGTGATCTGAGAACATACTTTGTATAACTACTATTCTTTAAATTTTTTAAGACATGTTTTACAATCCAAAATGTGGTCTATCTTGGTGAATGTTTCCTTTGAGCTTGTGAAGGATGTGTATTCTGCCATTGCTGAGTGGATTATTCTATTAATATCAATTAGATCAAGCTGATTTATGGTGCTGCTCAGGTTATCAATATTCTTGATTTTCTGCCTGCCTGGTGTATTGATTACTGACCGAGGGCTGTTGAAGTCTCCGATATATTAATAGTAATGAATTTTTCTATTTCTCCTTTCTGCTCTATCAGTTTCATAACTCACGTATTTTGATATCTTCATGTTAAGTTCAGACATGTTAAGGATTATTACATCTGACTTTCCACATTCCATGGTGATGGTTTGCCTTCAACCTCAGTTCTAGGATAGGTCCAAGAAAACTTGCTGATTTTCACTTTGTTCTGCTGCTTTTTTTTTGTTTGTTTGTTTGTTTGTTTTGAGACGGAGTTTCACTCTTGTTGCCCAGGCTGGAGTGCAGTGACGTGATCTCGGCTCACCGCAACCTCCGCCTCCTGGGTTCAAGCGATTCTTCTGCCTCAGCCTCCCAAGTAGCTGGGACTACAGGTGCCTGCCACCACGCCTGGCTACTTTTTTGTATTTTTAGTAGAGACGAGGTTTCACTATGTTGGCCAGGCTGTTGGTCTCGAACTCCTGACCTCGTGATCCGCCCACCTCGGCCTCCCAAAGTGCTGGGATTACAGGAGTAAGCCACCGCGCCTGGCCCACTTCTCCTTTTTGTGAGGATGGGAGCACAACTCTCAAGTTCTTTACATGTTGGGGCTGAAACAGGTAGTCACTCCACACCTATTTTACATAATTCCCTCTGTCTTTATTTAGCATATTTGAATTCTGGCAGGTTGCTATTTTTCCAGGTACACCCTTCCTGGTCTTCTCTGGGTTGCAGACTCCCAGACCTCTATTATTGCCAATTTCTCCACACTGTTTCCAGCTCAGCCCCAAGTGTTATGTAAACGTGGGGACCTTCTCGGCTGAAGCAGAACCAGTGCTCTCCGAGATTGTGGAGAGAATACCTGACATGGGCAGCATATAGTAATCCTGGCTGGTGTTGAAGAAAGTCTGCCCCACAAGAGGCGAACCATGAAAACTGGAGATTTGCTGCTAAAGCTAAGGATGCTTCTCTAATCTGCTCAGCTAGAGAATCTCTGTCTCCCCACAGCATGGAGAAGAGAGAAACGGAAACCCCCGTTGGTGCTGTGTAACAGAGAGGCCACAGATCCTGGCCTCTTGGGCATACCCTGCCATCAGTACGCTTGCCAATCAAATGCGTTACATGACAGTGCTGTGCTGGGCTCAACAAAGTAGGAGTTCCCATGGAGTTGAGGTGAGTTATACTTATAGAACTGAAGAAGGAAAGATCTTACAATCAGCCTCTTCAGCTGCATCCCCTGCCCTCTGCCTTCCTGAACAGTATTTTCACAGCACTTTTGGTTTTCCTTAACTATAGATAAGGCCATCCTGCAAAGAACTGGATTCTCTTTGTCTTATAACAATAGAAATTACAGAGTGGAAACTATTTATTTTAACTCTGATTGGTAAATAGATTGTGTATCATTTTAGTGTCCCTCTTAGACACTGACACTGGAAATAAAGATGCAATCTATTGCGCTATGTGACATTTTTGGTACCAGATTATCTGGGTACTCTAGATAATCTGGATACTTTTGTTCATTAATGGTATAGATCACAAGATTCTAAGAGGCATAAACAAAGAACTGGCTCCCGATGGCCTCTCCAGCGGGCAAAAGAAATTCTTCTATCTTTTCAAATAATGTTCCCTCCTGTGCCTTCTGTAATGGAATGATAATGGAATGGTTGGTAAACTAGGAGGGGATGGTGAAAGGTATTGCAGTATGAAAGGTATTGCAGGGCTTAATACACACCTCTGGGAAAATTTTCTCCTTCAGTCTGAGTTGGAGATATTTCACAGCCTACTTTCCACAATGCTGAAGGGTATCAGGCCTTTAAAATTTTCTGAGATGCTTTGAGTCAGCTGCTCTCTGCCTGTCCTAGGCTTCGCTGAGAGCCCGGGGAGGATATTAAGAGCATGATTACAGCAGGAGAAAATGAAAGATGTTGGGGTGGAAGTTGGAGAAGGGAGAAATAAACATAAATGGGGGAGGTTAGGAGAGGCCCAGGGAATGGATGGATGAGCAGAGGGGGCTCAAGAGAGGACAAAGTGACAATAGTAAGGGCAATTCTCAGGGTTGGAAGTAGACAGGAAGTGAGAGAATGGAAGAGATGGTGAGCATCAGAAAAGTCATCAGGAAGAGAAAGAATGAGGGTAAGAGATGTAAAAGGAATCGGGACAGGAAACAGGAGAGCTGAGTAAGAGAGGTGTGTTGGAACACATGCACACACACAAACACTGCTATAAAGGAGGGCTGGGCTGGCTGCAGTTGCTGACTGCATTGGGCAAACAGAGTTATTTGCAATAATCTGGAAATCATACCTTGTTTTGTTTAAGGGCACCTTTCTCTTTCATATGAGGGCAGTCCTTTCCCGTCACCACGGCTTTGATATCTGCCACCGGCACTGCAATTCATAAAAGAAAATGCAAGTAACTACACCATGTGAAAGCTTCGATGTCAATAAAGAAGCAGCACTAAGCACTGGGTCCGCTACTGTGGTTGTCATTCCCAGAAACTACTGCAAAAAGAGAAAAGAAGATTGTGGAAAAGAGGAAGAGAAGCCAGGTACTGTCCCAGGACTAGAAACTAAAATATATCTTATATTCTCGTAAAAAGCATCCCTGGGGAGAAAGAACTTGCTTGTAAGCAGAATTTGGTTCAGTGAAACAAAGACCTATAAAAAAACACCCATCATAGTACTGTTTGAAGTGATGGCATTAGAAGCAGCAGTAGAAATAACAGTGACCGTAGTAACAACAGTGACACTCATACTGATATTACGGAGGGCTCCTGTGTGACAAGAGCAATGCCAAGTGCTTTACATATATCTCTTTATATGTATCTCTTGCTATAGCATTTGCATCTATTTAGTTTCTGAGTTTTTGGATAATGAGAGAAAGCAGCCCTCCCTCAAAAAATTTATCCAACTCTAAATAGTTCTGAACTCTCACTCTCCAAAATCTCTTTCTCTGCCATCTCATTAATTCTGTAAAGCAGGTTTTATTATCCCTGTTTTACAGACAACAAAACTAAACTCAATTAAACAAAGGGAGAATTCCTTTCTGATACAGGAATCTGGAAATAATGCAGTTAGACAAAATGATGTTATCTTATGTCTTACTCTGGAGTTGGAGGAAGATAAGAAAAGATATGGAAGGGTTTGTGCACTTAAAACTTTTGTTAAGATCAGGTGAAAGAGGCTGGGAACAGTAAGTGGATCATGCCTGTAATTCTAGCACTTTGAAGGGCTAAGGCAGGAGGACTGCTTAAGGCCAGGACATTGAGACCAGCCTCGGCAACACAGGGAGACCCTGTCTCTACAAAAAATGAAATGAAAATAAAAAATTAAAAACAAAAAGATCAACTGAAAGAAAGAAGGCAATAGGATGGTTTGGAACCTTAATTTAAAGTAATGCAAAGTCATCTGCCCCTCTCCAATCCCTTACCCTCCAGCCCCACATGGGTTTATGAATCAAGGTATGCACACTGGCTAGTGTGTAGAATTTGGGATATGTGGGAATGCCAAGTAATCAATTCCTTACACTCTCTTAATGATGAAGATGATGAGAGATTTCATAGTTAAAGCTCACATCTTTTTATTGGGCAACTGGGTTGTGAAGGTAAGAGATAAGGATAAAATTACAGAATACCTAGAATATTAAAACAATAGACAGGAAGGCCTCAAAAGCTAACATTTTCCAGGTACCCTAAAATTGCTAAGAATTTGGTCCATATCTGTTGACACTCCTAGAATAATAAAACAATAGACAAGAAGGCCTCAAATGCTAACATTTTCCAGGTGCCCTAAAATTACTAAGAACTTTGTCCATATCTGTTGACACTCCTAGGCCTCTCTGTAACCCTAAGAAGAGTGGGGTTGTGATGAATCCTCCAGGAATCTCTGTAGGTTCCCCTGCCATATCTCACCACATCTTGCAACCTGATTCTGGACCCTTCTGGTAAACATTACTTGTAGTTATGAATAGCTGTCTCTCCTTTCCTTCTGGACACATAGAAAGCTACACTTCCCAGCAACCTTTGCAGTCAGGTCATGTGATTAATTTTAGCCAATGAAATGTGAAAGGAAATGCTACTTTTCTAGGTGGAGGCCCTCCATTCTGTCTTCCCCTGCCGCAGAAACTGAAGGAGTGACCTGTTGCATCCAGATGGCACAGGAGAGGCTCAGGGAATGGATGGATGAGCAGAGGAGGCGCAGGGAAGACAAGGTGACGATAGTCAGAGGGCAATTCTTAGGGCTGGAAATAAACAGGAAGTGAGAAGATGGAAGACATGGTGCACACTGGTCTGTGTTCCTGAGTGACTATATGGAGCAGCCCTTTGCCAACCTGTGTATGTTGTATAACGTGAGTGAGAAGTAACTTTTTGTTGTGCAAGCCATGGAGATTTTGGGGTTGTTTATCCCTGCAGCACATGGTAGCAATATAGCCCCACCTGACTGATCTCAGATCCCTTTTCTGCCTCTTTGCCTGACCCCCTTGGGGTTGGCATCTTCCTGTGGATGGTCTCTGTGATTCCTGAACCCACCTTTGACCATGAACACTGACTTCAGTTCTCCTCAAATCCATTTTCATAACCAAGAACTGGCCTCCTTTCCCTCAGTAGCTGATCTGGCTGCCTAATCCCTACCCTAGGAAGGGATATTTGGATACTCTGGGAAGTTGGCTAACTTTCCAATGGAAAAACCACCATTGAAGGGAATGTGATATAGTCAACAAACTCATTCTAAAAAACGTTCTCAAGATTCAAATAGAGTTTGAGTCACAAGTGCCTTGTAGAAAGTTTTTTTTGTTATAATATACAGCATGGTCCATGAACTAGAGAGAGTGTGCACAGTCTACAATTGGTAAGTTAGCCCTTAGCTTTGAAAACTCATCGTATGGAATGTGATAAGAGTAACACCATAGTCTGTCCTGGGGGTGGTCTTCAGAATCTCTAACAGAAAGGCTTCCAAGGAGAAGAGTCACTTTTTCACTAGGTTTTGTGGAAGTACATGTATATTTTTTAACATGCATTGTCCCTCGTCCTAGAGACCAGCTGCTACATCATTCATAGGATTATGACTAAAAGGAAAACAAAAAGTTCTAAAAATACAGTGTAGCTTTTAAAGGTTGCTTTTTGCATAGTTTGTCTCTAGATGCACCAGAAGATTAGGCATTGGAAAGGCTCAAATGCTGGCCTCTCTATTCTCATGAGCAGAAACAGAGGGGTCAGACCCATATCTCCGGAATCTACACTCTAAGGAGACCGCAGGGAGCTCTTGATGACTTCAAAGCCAGGCTAGCATTTTGATGAGGCCTTTTTTGTGGAAGCAAGATAAAGAAGGGGGGTCCAGATCTGTGAGAATCAGGGTCACCAGTGAAGAACGAACCCTCCCACCACATTTACCCCCTGGGGCATGGCCTCATTTCTTTCTATGCTTTTTATAGTTTGAGCTGGGTTGAGACCATCTTAATTCGACACTCCTATTTTACAGATGGGAAGACTGACCCTAAAGGGAGGAAATCAATTATGCAATGACACAGAGCTAGGCTAGCAGGGGAAAAGAGCTGGGTTTAGTGATTCTTCTTCCACTCCATGTTCCCTTGTTAGGCCATGATTTCTCCCTTTGTAAGGGGCCAGCCCCCTAAATCATGCTGAGCACAGCCCTAAATGTAGTTATCACTTCAGATGTTCAGGAAACTCTTTGATTGCTAATACCCGTGGAAGGAAGTTTAATTGTGATTTAAAACAAAACTACTACTGAAAAAGCAAATGTGGCCACCCACGATGAAAACAGTTTCAGCTTTCATCACTGAGATCCAAGTTCAGGCAGAAACCATTCAGAGGAAGTAGCTAGGAAGGCTTGAGCTCTTGCTGTGTGCACAGCTCCGTAGTAGAAGCTCCTGTGGGTAGAAATATGAGGAGGTACAGGCTGATCCCAGGATAGCTGCATGAAGAATCTGGTCTCTCTGGCCTAGCAGATCAGCCACATGACATGGAATGGTGGGGAGAGATGTGCCTTTGGAATCAGAGTGCCAGGGTTTGAATTCTACATCCACTAACCTCCTCTACTACTTTGGGCTTAAGTTTTCAGAACCTCAGTTTCCTTGTCTGCAATGTGTAACTCTAACATTATCTATCCCATATGGTTGCTCTGAGAGTTAAATCCTGATGCTGGAGCTGAGATCACTGTTGGTTTTTAATCTAGGCAGTACACAGTAGTGGGTGAAAATCTGGGCCATGGAGTTAGACAGTTACATTCAGATCTTTGCGTTACTATTTACTAATCTTATGACTTTGAATAAGTTACTTAATCTTTCTGTATCTCAGTTTCCTTTCTGTAAAATATGGACAATATTATCTACCTCTTTAGGTTGTTGAGAATAATTTACGTAAAGCCCTTAGCATAGGGCCTGGTATATAGTAAGCACTCAATAAATGCCATTTGCAATTATTCCCATTATCAATAATCAGATAATGTTAATTCTGTAGATGGAGGGACCTGAATTATTCTGTGTGCTTTGGTGACCCAAATTGCCTACGGTGCCTCCCTGTGTTGCCGCTCTCCGCATCCACTGGAGCAGGCTTAATCTCCGCATGGGCGGGTGAGCCAGCACTTTCCTCCCTGCCCCCTCTGATGTGGGAGCGAGGAATGCTGGCCTAGATTCTTTCAAAGGGAGGCAGTGAGGAACCCAGGGCATGGCTGCAAAGCAATGGGGTCCTGTGTTTGTTGGGGGCTATGACAACCTGTAAGTCAGCTTGGGAGGGATATGGGGAAGGTGGGGATGTAAGAAGATGTCGATTTTCAAAGGCCAAGTTTCCTGACAAAGAAAAGCAACACAAAGTGAAAGATTTCCTAAAGCTTTGGAGAAGACAGCCGAAGAGGCACCCTCAATCATGTGCACTGTCTGTATTAAGAAAACTCCATTTTACTATTTGATTTATCAATAGCTCAGTATTCAGCACTGATTAACTCAAGGGGCGCAAGACGATCTCTGCCTTGGTCTCAAGAGAGGGCAATGGTACATGGCAAGAGCAATGACACTGAACATTAATTAAAGGCATGACTCATTTTTCCAGTGGAATGGGGTTTCTGACTTTTAAGGGTTCCAAAAGGTGGCTATTTTGCTCTCGGCAGAATGCAGAATTGGAATTAAATGCAAACCAAGGTGGCAGGCCTGCAGCAGGAAACTTCAGCTTCCTAGGCCGTTTTTTTTTTTTTTTTTTTTTTCGTCTCAGGCACAGTATTGCTTCATTTCAACTCATTACATGAGTATCCCCATTTCTCTAGCACATACGTGCAGAAGGATACAATCTTACTAGTACACACATACACTCTGTCTTTCTCTCACACACACACTGTCCCACAAGGTGTGAATAAATGCTTGTGCAGATAAATAGATCCGCACAAGTATGCAATCTTAGTTCATCATGCAATGGATAAACTGTTTTTGGAGCAGCTCTTTGGAACTTCATTTCAGAGGAAAACGATTGCTAAGAGTTTTGGAGGCATGGTCAAGAGGGGCTATCACAACCCCTTCAAGAACCAGCCTTGCTCAGTGGCCACTGTGAAAAGCTGTGTGGAGATTTGCAGCTGTGGCCTTGCTCTCCTGCACTCACCCTGGCAAGCCGGCTCTCCCTGGCATCAGCACCTCTGGTTCCAGGTTAGTTATTTTCACCCTGGAGTCTTGGGAGTGAGGGTCTTAGCAGAACTGGGGGACATCAGCTTGTAGGCAAGACCAGGAACTGCCCCTACACAAGGCTTTGTTGCTGTGGCTGCCAATTTCCTAGGTAGCTGGCCATTTAGCATGGGGGTGCTGTGCTAACACCTGGTAAACCTGTCAGTCAAGTGCCTATCTTTGGGTTGAGAAGTGATTACATCCCTGTTGTTTAACACTATGTCCTGTTAGTGGGAGAGCAGATTCACTGGACCATATGGGGAGTCAGGTTGTGTTTGTTCTGTCCTGACCACTTTTCCCCTTGTGACAGGTTAAGAATGGGGCTGTGGGGCCCGGACCTCCTAGGGAGCTGCTGTTTGTTTCAACCAACAATAACCTCTAACTCTTTCTGTTTAACCACTGCAGAGCGGTGATTCCAACTGCAGAGCAGTGATTCCACATCGCTGGGCTCTGGTCAGTTCCTAGTTCACAGGGGAGTTCACACCAGTGAGATTTTCACCAGTTAATAGCAAATGCAGAAAAATGAGGACACCGGTGTGAGTTTTTCAGAGAGCTAATTTAGTTTAGCAGAAGGGACTGTCTTTTATCTAAGATTAGGTCCTTCTTACTTTTTATTTTCTTGTAATTGAGGGTCCTTTCTTTCATGAAAGGGTTGTGATATTAAACTTTAGTTAGATTTTATTTCTTTAATATCCTTTTTTTTTGGCCCAAGTTAAAAGTTAGCAATATACTATTAATTTACTTAAACTTTTTTTTTCTTTTTTTAATTATTAGTGAAAGCCACGTTTGGGGAATCATAGCTCTCAAAATGTGCATGTCGGAACCACCTGGAACATCTGTAAAAACAGAGATGGCCGGTCCCCACCCACTGAGTTTCTGATTCAGCTAGGCTGGGGAATGGGGTCTGAGAATGTACATTGCTAAGAAGTTCCTAGGTGATACTGCTGTTGATGTTCCAGGGACCACGTTTAGAGAATCACTGCTCTATAGCTTGGCCAAGGTGGGGTGGGGAAGGCTTGAACTGTAAAGGGAGGATCCTCATTTACAGGTAGAGGCCCAGGACACCCCTAACTCCTGCCCCAAAGCAGGGAGGCATAGATAGTGTCCCAGGCTCTCTGCAGCAGTGGATTTCAGATTTCCTTCTGTAAACCCTGACTTAGGGAGCCAATAATGTGGGCTGGGAAGAAAGTTCTCCTATGAAAGAAAACAAGATTGTTTTCTGAACTAAATGACACTACAAAGACCAGACTGTCCCATTTTTAAGCTGGAGGAAGAGTGAATGTTCCAGGTTGTCTGCCTGAGATGTCAGCGCAGAGTCTGAATGTGTCAGGAAATTTCCCACTCCTGGGTTATTTTCGCCTTCAATGGCCGTAAGTTGTAAGGAAGGCAATCCAGATTTGACTTCCATGGGCCCCAGGGTGACAGGACAGAAGGTGTGAGACTCTGGGTAAGGACTCTATCTGGGGGTGACAGGACAGAAGGTGTGAGACTCTGGGTAGAGACTCTAGTGACAGGACAGAAGGTGTGAGACTCTGGGTAAGGACTCTATCTGGGACACGCTTATCTGAATCCTGCAAGGCCAAGGTGACTTTTAAAGGTTATTTAAAAGTGCTCTGAATGTTTTCTCCCTCTCGGATTTTTCTACCTGGGATATCCTCTGAGGCTACGTTCATTTTATCTCATTTCTCCTCAAATTAATTTATCACCCTTGTGTATTTCAGTGTTTCTATAATACTTGTTTAATTTGTGTGGCTAACACTGTCAAAATAACCTGGCACCTGGTTCCGTGTGGGGCTAAAAGAATCCTGCACATGACTGTCTCTTCAAAAGCATGCATGTTAAAACAGACAACATACAGAAAAAGTCAAAAAATATACAAGAGAAATATTTAGCAAACAGTAGAGGTAACTGATCATCATTTTCAGTGTCTTTGAGGGAAACTAGCTATATTTGGAGCTGCCATTAACTCTGTGTCATAACTATGGGATACACAAAATTGTAAAGAATAAATGTTGTAGGGGTCAGGCATATACATTATGAAAATAAGAAATTATTATGGGTTTTTAGAAAAAGACAACTGACAGAGTCAGGTTTGTATTGGTTTTGCTCCTTGACACAGCACCTGGATAAACAATGTAAAAAGTGGACATTTGAACCCCAAGTTTACGTCTTTCAGTGAAGATACCTTTGCATCCATTTTACATTCTCCCCTGTTCAGTTCCAAACCCCAAGTCCATCCAGGTCTTGTACTTGATGAGATGGCTCAGGCCAAGACTTACAACTAGATGAGATGTGTTCAAAGGGCTTACTTAGGCTGATAGTTTCACTGCATGATATATTGTGATTAGGAAACAACCAACGGACCAACACTCAGGCCTCTGCCAAGGAGAGCTACTTACGTTTGTCCTGCAAGGAATCGTGAGGCACTTCTCCCTGAGGACTCTCTTCTAAGTCTCCGTAATGCAGGACTTTGTGATTTGGCGAAAGCCGACAATACCAAAACTTGTCTGAGAGAAAAAATACAAGTTTACAAGGTAAGTGATTCTGGTTTATAGAAATACTAGCCTGGTTATTTCTTAATACTCTTGCCTGGAGGAAACAAGCAGTTCATCTGATTTTAAGTCCTGAGGAAGGATGAATTCTAGGGCCCTGCACAGTAACTTCCCTTTGGAGTTTGATATTTTCTTATTACCTGTCCTGCTTGCTATACATTTGGTAACCATTAGTAAAGTCATCGACCCCTTCAAGCTCAATAGCAATAGATTTTAGGAGGTGGTGGTTTCCAGAGGGTATTTTATCACTAATGATAACCACCATGGGAACTGCTCCGTATTCATTTACAGACAAAAGAGGGAGGGAGATATAGAAAAAAACAGATTTCTCAGAATGTTTCTGCTGCCACTTTCCTCTCTGAGAATTTCAGACTGTTGAGACAGTTGTGTCCAAGGCCATATTTTAGCTGATACAACAAACCCCTACCCGAGGCTACCACACACACATTAATCATGAACGAATTGTTAGGAAACTGGTGATACACACGGTGTGTGGGATTCATGAGGAATTCATCTAAATAATTCAGGGATTTAGCTACAGAATGGGGACCTGCACAATCATTCTCCTCTCCAATTCCCAGAATTTGCTTATCTGGATAGGCATGACCAGGGGATTACGGTCATTCTTATAAACAACTTCCTCAACTTTACTGCCTCAGTCTCTCAAAAGTGAGAAGAAATTTTGAGTAAGCCTATGAGGCAGGAAGAAAGAGGCAAAGAGCATTTTTTATAGATTAGGGACTTGAACTGTGACAGCAATGCTTGTGCAGCTGTCTCCTCCAGGAAGCCCCCTTTGATCCCTGCAGCTGAAGGGCCTCTCCCCATCCTCTGAGATGTTCTAGAGTCTCCTTTGCACCACCAGTTTGGCTTGGACTGGCAATATTGGAGCCTAATGTTAACACCTTAGTATTTCCCATTATCTGCTACAGACACTAGGTAAGCAACTTGCCCTTGAGGGTGTATTGTGAACAATACTGATAGGAGAAGAGGACTCCAGCCCTGACAGTGTAGAAGACTCTCAGTCTCTCTGTTGACAGTCACTGTCTTCATAATTGCAATGTCCCAATCTCTTGGCACAGTGTCTGACACATAAAAGTTGCACAGTTGGTGTAGGCTAAGCTGATAAATGAAGACCCAAGGGGACCTAATCAAAATGCCTAAGGCAAGAATTGTCTGTCACCTACAAGCCCCTTTGCACCACTGTGCGGTTGGTACCCTTTGAGGCCTTGGCCAAGTTACCTCATTATTGTGCCTGAAATATAATTTGTTTTGAAGCCACTCTGACTAAAAAGCTCTTCATTATATTTTAAGAAAAGTGGTTTTCTCTCTAAAATTGCTGTCACTGCAAACCCATGGTTTAATTATGATTCTTTTAATAGAAATAGAAGTTTTAAGAATGGAAGTAAAAGCCACACAATGAACAAAGAAAATGCCCAAATTTGATCCACAAAAGGAGAGCGTCTCTGTGATTCTTATCTTCCTTGTCTTTAAATAGGGTTTGAGAATTCCGAAGCATAGTCAGAATACAGCAATCCATAGATTTAAAGGAATCTGAACTCCGGTGGAAAAGATTGAGCAGGAAAAAGGTCATTTAACAGCTAGGAAAACATTTGAAATTGCTAAGTTTCAAAATTATGCTATATATATACCAAACATGGGTCATTTTGCTGGGAGAGCATTTCAAAGGGAGAAAACAGTTATTCTCTGAGTAATTCACAGACATTTAAATTAGGCAAATGTGTACTTATGGGTTTTCCATGAGGACAGCAACTTTGGGAATTTGACTTGTAACTCACAACAGGAATTGTGAATTCCAGAGCAGGAGGCAATGGCTTTCCGAACATCAACAGTGCTGTTGGGGGCCTGTGGCAGCTGCCTCTCCGCACAGGTTCTTTCCCCTGCCCTACGTGGCTGTGATGACCAGAAAGCCAGCTGGAGAAATCTGCCATAAAGTTTTCCTTTCCTTGCTGCATCTAGGTGATATGTGTGGCTAACTGAGGAACTAAAGGGTGATAGAGGCTGGGAAGGAAGACAGTGAGAAGTGGTACTTGGACATGCTGGGCTTATTGTCAGTTAGATCTTAGCCTGTGCTTTATAGGAATCCCTTACTTCTCGAGCTGGGGTAAGTAAACTCTAGGGGTCAGCAGTGGGACTTGAAGCCAAGCCAATGTGTCACAATCAAACAAGATCTATGACACTCAACTGACTTTGAGGAGAGGAATTAAGAAATTTATCTGGTGCACAGTATAATACAAACATATATTATTGTAGAGTAAATTGCACAGCTTAATATTCACATGTAAGATATATTGATTTGTAAGATTTCAAAAATTTTGCTGCTCTACTTTCAGGATAAATTTGTTTATCCAATGAATACTTGCTGCGTGGCTGTCTACAATGCACACAGCACTCTACTCGGTGTAGTGAAACATCTTTAGAATGGAAGGCAGACATGAAAGACAAGGCCAAGGAGCTCAGGGAAAAGGAGCTCCCTCAGTTCTTCATGGCAGCTAAGAGAGAAAGATGTTGTTTCCCAGGTCTGGGAAGTAGGAACTGGGACAAATCAGTAACTCTGGCTATCCTATGGAGAAAAACAGGAATGCAGAAATCTCTTGTGCAACACATTCTTACATTCGGAAATGATTATAGAACAGTGGCTATTTATCAGAGTTTCAAGAAGCAAAACAGCCGTCTTCCTTGCAAAGTTGCAGTTGATGTTTGTTTAAAGAAAACCCAAAGGGTCTACAGCAGACAGACCTTCCTCCTTTCCAGAGCTTAAATTCCCTTGACTTGTATGACACCATCGTGTCCTGGTTTTCCTCCTGCCTCTGTTCTCTTATCCTATACAAGTTTCTTTTCTTCTGTCTACTACTAAAATGATAAAAAGCAAAAAGATCGGTACATCACAGATATAAGTGATGTGTTCCACTCCTCCCCACCAATTAGAAAGTCTTGGATGGATGGAAAAATATTGGAAAAAGGGGCTGAAAAGGCTGAGAAACTTGTCTTGACTCATAATCAAATGGGAGGCTACTCAGCCAGTATCTTCCTCACAGTAAAACTGGAGTCCTAAGGTTTGGAAGGCTTAGACATTGTGTATTTCTGTCCTGAAGGGAAAGCCGCTACAAGGATAATAGCATCAGCACAGTGCGTCGACATGTTGGGTGAGACAGTTTCAGTGTCAGCCACCAGCAGCAGCTTGATTTGCAGTTTCTTTTATGGCAAGAAAAATGTGTATTTTCCTTTCAAACTCCAGCATGATGTTACTCGTTCCTTTATCCCTCTGGGCGATGAAAGAGTGAGTTGCATCACTAAAAGCAATTAGCAGGAAGCAGTGAGAACATTATCAAAGATTGTTTACTAGCATTTAGGTGAAAATAAGAGTTAATATGGAGGTCTTCCAGTCAATGACTAATGAGAGTATGTTAATAGCCAGGCTTGGTTTCCAAACCCAAAACAAAATATGGGGAGAATTTCGTGGTTCAATCGTATGTGTGTGTGTGTGTGTGTTTGTGTGTGTGTGTATGTGCGCGCGTGAAGGATAAGAGGGAAAAGCTGCTTTCACAGCTCACGAGCCTGGGAAGGGCTGATTAAAGCTATTCCCAATGTCACATAGATTGCTATGGAGCTAATAACCACTGTCAACTGTAATTTTTTGCAGTGCCGTCCAACAGAATTTCCTGCAATGATGGAAATTCTCTATTATCTGTTTTATCCAATACTAAGAAAACAAATTATAAATTTTCTTTCATTTTAAGTAACTTAAACAGCCATAGGTAGTTCTATCAGATAGTGTAGCCCACTGTCTGTTTTCATCATCCAGGCTGAAGACAAGCTTGGGGCTGGTCCCCAGGTCTCTGGGAGAGCCCAGCAAGGTGAAGAGTAGCAACCACTGCTAGGTGTGAAATGCCAGCCAGTTCAGTGAGACACAGGGCACAGCAAGAACCAAGCCCCAAGACTGCCGTGGAATCAGGACACATCTTTGTCTTGAGTGCAGAGCCCGCTGTCAGCAGCTGGGGGCTGACCCCGGGGGCCCTAAGAGTCCTATATTAGGGAGGAGAACAGGTTTTTGTAAAAGATGTCTTTAGAACACTTCCATGAGGATTCTGAATTTTCCCAAGGATAACCTAAAATGTGCCAAGTCTTCTGTGTGTTCAGAACAAGGTCAGCTTTCTGCCTAAGGTCCAACCTTTCCAAGTCACAAAACAAGAGGGACCCAGCAACGTGTTTAAAGGGAAATGTCATCTTTTGGGTGATGAGATCTAAGATTTTTTTTGTTGGTGCAAAAAAGGGAAACAACTATCGATACCGATGAAGGGCATCAAATCTTCCTCACTTCACTGAGCTTTCTTTAAAAGGACAGATTTGTGTTTTGATTCTGAATTCTGCCTCCCTGGACACAGCTGCTCACAGCAAATGACACCTGAGTTCCCAGGTACTTTCCAAGATGATTTGGTCTAACAGATGCCTTGAAGTCACACATACCTGGGTGACACACCTGGTTCTGATTCTTATTAGCTTCGGGGCCTTGGCCTAATTATAAAAACCTCAGAAATCCCTGTTCTTCATAAGTATAATAGTCATATGAGTAAAACACACAAAAAGTATGGATCCTACATCTTCCAGAATTGGTTCTCAAAACATATTTGTACTTTCCTGCTCTTCCAGTCAATAGTAGTCCCTCTCGTCCACACTACTGCCCCTCCATCTTTTGGGAACAATGATTATGCATTATTCTGACCTATTGGGAAATGCCTTTTTTTCCTGAAAATGAACTGGCTTTTCATAATTTGAAAATATGTATTTATGTATACCTGCCTTTTTGTAACAAAATATTAAAATAAAATTTCAACCAAGGATGAAGAAAGGAATGACCTGCTCCCCACAACAGGGCAATGTGGTTACCGTGCCTGAACGCACCACTTGGCTCTAGGTCTTCTGACGGGGCCTCCAGAGCAATGTAAGATATACCAGCCTTGTTGGCAGGAGTGGTAGGCATGCATTTTGCCCAACACCGAGTTCCAAGATAAGCCTGTCATGTCAGCACTTAGGGAATGCCAGTCAATGAAACAGACACTGTTCTCTGCAGGAGGTTTCATGTTATCACTTCTTGAAATGATTTCCAGTGTTAGCCCTGGACTCTTACCAAGGCCATTCAATGCAAGTGATTCTGAAAGACCTTCATCTCTGAAATACAAGAGAAGTAGGGGGCAGTTCTTGAGCCTACAGATTCTCATGAAGCAAATAGTGGCTGATATCATTTGGATCTGTGTCCTCACCAAATCTCATGTGGAATTGTAATCCCCAGTGTTGGAGGTGGGTCCTGGTGGGAGGTGACTGGATCATGGGGGTGGAGTGCTCATGGATGTTTTAGCACCATCCTCCCCTTGGTACTGTATAGTGATCAAGTCCTCTTGAGATCCGGTTATTTAAGTGTGTGGCACCTCCCCTCTCCCTGTCTTCCTCCTGCTGTGGCCATGTGAAGTTCCTTGCTCACCCCTTGCCTTCTACTATGATTGGAAGTTTCCTGAGGCCTCCCCAGAAGCAGAAGCTGTGATGCTTCCTGTACAGCTTGCAGAACTGTGAACCAATTAAACCTCTTTTCTTTATAAATTAGCCAGTCTTAGGCATTTCTTTATAGCAATGCGAGAATGGACTAATACAGTGTCCCTAACACAGACAACTTCTGGGGTTTCATCTGAAATCTCTCCTGCAGGAGTCCAGGGAACACAGAAGTCAGGCAATTTCCATGCCAAGGATTCTGCGACCAGGGCTTATACTTCATGGTCAGTAAGTATAAGCTTGGGGAGAGAGTGGAGTGATGCAGGTTAGTGGCCTCCAATGCCACTCCACCTCCTGTGTTTAGAAATCTATATTCTGGCCAGGTGCAGTGGCTCACACCTGTAATCCCAGCACTTTGGGAGGCGAGGCAAGTGGATCATCTGAGGTCAGGAGTTCAAGACCAGCCTGGCCAACATGGTGAAACCCCATCTCTACTAAAAATACAAAAAATTACTCAGGCATGGTGGTGGGTGCCTGTAATCCCAGCTACTTGGGAGGCTGAGGCAGTAGAATTGCTTGAACCCAGGAGGCAGATGTTGCAGTGAGCCGAGATCATGCCATTGCACTCCAGCCTGGGTGACAGAGCAAGACTCTGTCTCAAATAATAATAATAATAATAATAATAATAATAATAATAATAATTCTGTATTCTGAGGCGCTACGAGCTAAAATCATCAATGAATGTTTGATAATCTGCCCAGCATCAAAGTGCTATATGTATAATTTTACTTACCCCTTACGGCTATTTGATAGAGGAACTAACATCATCCCCATTTGAAAGAAGAAGAAAGAGAAGCACAAAGACATTGAGCAGATTGCCCGAGGCTACCCAGCTAGTGAGTAGGGAGCAGGGACTTCAGCCCAGCTGATTGTGTCTTTTGAGAAATATTACCTCTCAGTTCTAATGTGGTTAGAATTCCCAGAAACCCCAATCTGTAAATGTCTGCATCTGACTATTCCAGTAGCAGAGTTGCACATGAGACAGGCAGAAGGATCGCCAAGTATCAACTCAGGGATCTTCTAGCCAAATGTGGCATAGTCGAGTACTCTCTATTTGTTCCATCACTTTCCAGTTCTGTGGAACTGTAAGTTCTTTCATATTTTCCCTTATAAAGTTAACTACTTAAATTCACTCATCTGTATCCTATTCATTGTCAGACAAGTTTAAAGGGAGTATGGTGCTGGCTCCTGCACTGGGAGTGTCTGCTCTTGAACCTGTGATGACATCTGGCAGGCAGTTGTCCATCCCAGTCTGAGGTCTCATGTAGAAGTGCATCTTTTCTGAAGGGATTAAAAATGTCATGTTCTCATTAATCTGTGTAAATCTAAATGGAATGTTTTGATGGGGTGATAGGAAACCAATTTCAGCACAGTCTGCTTTGAATCCCTATTTTTAAGCACAGAACCAGTCACCAGATTTCAAATCCATTTACCAAATACCAAAAAGCCTTCCTTTCTGCACTCGGAAGGATGATTTTGTATTAAACACAGATGGTCATGCTCCCTAGGGAGTTCAACTCATAAATTTATAATCTAGATGCTAATATTTTTTTTTGTTCAGGAGGTAGTTCATTATTAGAAAATTGGAAAAATTTACAGATACGGGACTAACATTTTTTAAACAACAACAACAACAACAAAAACGCTGTTAATTAATACATCTAGAAACAGGATTACTCTGATAGAACCCATCCACTTGAACCTAGTCAGGGAATTCTCATGACGCAGTAGACTAGAAGGTTAAATTGGTGCTAGGAGCTAGGTTGTGAGGGATTCTAGCTGGGCAGCAGTAGAAGCATTGGGTGTCTATTTGCCATTTCCCATCCCCAAACTTCTGTGTCCTTTGCCCAATGTCAAGTAAGTAAAAATCTTATAAATCATCTTTATGGGGGCAGTATATCCCAAACATTGATTTTTTTCCAAAGGCAATAAAGACATCAGGGCATACAATCGGCTCTCTGACTAAATGAGCTCCTGGATCCCCTAATCCTGTCCTCCCACTTTACAGATGACAACTTGGGGCCTTGAGAGGTCATGTGTCCTTCTAAAGACATCAGAAGACATCTAAAGATGGTTCATTAAAGAACTGAGAAGCCTAGCACCAAGTCCACTCACTCTGGCTCACTGCTTTTTTCCTACACAATCTTAAAGAACAACAGTAGCTCCCTTTTTTTGTTGTTTATTGTTGCTACATTCATAATCACCTCTCTTCCTCACGATAGCCCTAGAAGACAGGCATTGCTATCCCCATTTTGGATGGGAAAACTGCCCAAGGTCACACAGCTGGACAGGTATAGAGGCAAGACCGCACCCACATTGCCCGGTTCTGGGGCTATGTCCTTGCCACTGAGCCCTGCGGTCTTCTTGGAACACCATTTACTCCGACATGATACCTGACGCAAGGAATGCGATGAGAAGAGGGCATGAACTCATCCTTCAGTGGCTGAATGGGAGGGAGGACTTCCCTCTTCCACTGCTCTCACTAATAGGAGGCTTTCTCTGTAACTCAGCCCTTATTATTCTGCCCATTGTCCTCTCCCGAGGCTCAGCCTGAAATTCACTCTAAGAGCTTCTCATCCTCTGAGAAGAAACTGCATTTTCCTTCCTCCAGGAAGTTCTGCCTTCGGAAGTTCCTCAATGTGATGTTTAATGGTAACATGAGAAACACTTCCAATTTACTGAATATGCAGCACAGGACAGTTAAAGTAAATGGCTGGGGGATGAGTTCAGCCGACAAACACAAAATGATTTTTGTCATTAGTGGGTGAGCTCTGTGGCTGAGCAGGGCATCCAGCAGGTTTCAAAATATCTGCCAAAGTTTCTCCTGGGCCATAACTGATGTTCTTAGTATAGTTGCTAATGCCTGTGCTTGCTCCTGCCTCTTCTTCAATCTCTTTGCCTCTTCCCAAATCTTACTTTACAGTTTTATGTTCTGGCTGTTTGCTTCTAGGAGTGTGTGGTATGAAGACTCTAGCTGTGCGATCAGCAGCATGTCAAGAGAGCAAGAAAACAGTCAAGGGTGCTTTACTTGTCCAGGAAAGAAACAGCTAGACATGTTTCCCACCTGTTGAGTCTATAGAGACAATTCAGAAATCTGCCTTGAGAAATTATGTAAGTGATGCTACCCTATCTTAATTCACTGTTACTTATATCCCCATATAAAATAATTCTGTCCTAGAAGAGAAGCAGTGTGGGGGATTTGACAATAAGGGCCATCCATGCTGAAAGCTTCAAGATCAAACCCAACAGTGGGTGCCAGCTCTCCTGCACCAAGGGGAGTCATTAAAAGGAAGGGTCCTGGAGCTGTGGAGTTTGAATCCTTGCTCTTCTGTGACTTTGGGCCAGTTTCTTAGCCCTTTAGTGCCTCCATTTTCTAATCTGTAAACTGGGCATAATCCTAGTAGTTACTTCCTAGGGTTATGGTGAGGATAAAATGCATGATAAAGTAATGCATTATAATAGGTATCGGCCAGAACATAGATCTGGAAGTCAGAAGACTAGAGTTTCAGAAGCACCTGGCACATGGTAGGCTCATATACATGCCAGCTATTGTTGACACCACCACTAGCAGTTTTGTGGCACTAAATGGCAAAGAATGGCTCTTCATTTCTGTGGCTCTTCAGGTGTGCATGGGAAGCAGAAATGACCTGGACTGCTATTCCTGTCCTGAGTACAATGCTGCATGGCCTACCCTTAAACTAACACCACACCCCTGTGATGCTCCAGGGAGCAGGCCACTGTTTACCCTGTCCAAGTTTGGAGTGTCCCCAGAAACAATACCTTGCCTCCGCCGGGCGTTGAGTTTCCTAAAGCAGGTCCCTTCCACGAGGCGGTTCAGGCGTTGCTGTTTGATCAGCTCTAAGATTTCTGGCTGAATCTTCTCCTTTAGTTCCCTGTTAGAGGAAAAACACATTCCACAGCATGCCTTGAGAAACAGAGTGTGGCTTGGTGGGCATCATGGGCAGATGGGCAGGGGAGAACAAGTGCATCTTTTCATGACCATCTAAGACCTCCAACTTGGCGCTTTAGAGAAGTGTTTATTAAGAGTCAGTGGCCAGGGGCATAAGTACAACACCACAATAGATTCTGGGACATTTACAGAATTCCACAAAGCACCAGTCCCTTTAGTGATGTTTTTCCGGAGCTAAGTGTCCTGAGAAATTTCTTCTTTTATTTTACAAAGGCACAGATATAAACTTACACAAAAATCCATTCAGCACTGCTAAGACAATCAATCCTTGGTCAACTTTTTTCCCCTGTACCAGGTAAACTCTGAGACTGTATTTGTGATCTGATTAAACAGGCATATTAGGCAACCACACGATTACTATTCCACAGCAAACACTGTATAGTGAGCAAACCATAGCACCACTTTTGCTTCCAATTCCATCATTCACAAATGGGGACAACACTGTCCCAGATTCTAGCCCACAGAGACTGAGATAATCATGGGATAAATGAAAGATTATTTGCATCTTGTCTCAGGCTAATGCAATATAATTTAGTTTGAGATCCATTATGCTGCAAAGATATCATGATAGAGTGAAATGGTTTTCAGTTTGTTTTTAGAGCAGAAATTTTTATCACAGGAAATTTTACATAGCACCTTAGCATTTGAGTCTAGTAAAGTCAAAACTATTCTAGTTGAAGCTGGACAGAGAGACCCAGAGCCCATTCTTCATAGCAGTGTTCTAAGAAGCATTGGCCAGAACATAGATCTACAAGTCAGAAGACTAGAGCGTCAGTCTAGGCTCTGCCCCCATGACTAGCATTTCACGTAGCTCATCTAAGTCTCAGTTTCTTCATCTATAAAATGGGAATAAGAATCTTTCCTGCTGTGACTCCCAAATGAGACAGAGTACAAGTCTTTATTAAGCACTGAGCAGGAATGTAAGGCACAACTGAATTTGCTTTGGTGACATTCTCTCCTTTCCTCAAGCCAAACAGTTCATAGGCCTATATTACCCTGTAGCCAAGGCTCACACATTCATCAGCTTCCACCTTAACTCTGGACCAGCCCTGACGCTGAACTGCCAGCAACCTGTTCTCACATGGTGCTCCATTCCAAGGTGAGAAAGGGACTCATGCTTGTTGGGCACATACTATGAGCCGGGTAGTGCAATATGCAGTTTTAGCTCATTTAATCTTCCTTCCCTCCTTCCTGAAAATAACAGCTTTTGGGGAAGGTATTAATTTCATCATTCCCATCTTACAGAAGGGGAAGCAACTCACGGAGGTTACGTGTAGAATATGGGCACAGACTTAGGTTTTCCTTGTGCAAACTGCTTTGATTTACTCATCAGAAAAAAGAAAAAAAGTTACATAAAAGGATAAGGCCATCTAACAGGGCATTCTAGTACTCCATTAACACATTTTTTTGAGGCTTAAGTGCCCTCAAACATTCTCTCATTTGATACTGTTGCAACTGAACATCTATAAAGCATAATATGGAAATTCAGTCCTAATAATAGTTTGGGACATTTGTAAAGTCTTCCCTGTGTAGGTCTCTTAGGGTCTCATTTCAGACTTTCAGATCACTAAACTATTTATTATCAGCGCTTAGCTCTTCTAAAATGGACTCAGTAAATCGCAGCTTTGATGAACCCTGCACTGAGTGGAAAAGAAATTTGGTATCTGCCAGGGAATTGCACACAGCAATAAATCACTGCTCCCAACTTCCAAGTCCAGGTGACCGGGTGCAGACAAAGACATGGTGCCAGAGGATGGAGAAAATCTGGGAGAAAAAGTTTTGGAATTTCACCAATTCTTAGGTTATAGATATATACATTTAAATAATAGTTTCACTAGGCCAGGGTTGAGTTATTAAAATGGAGCGGAGGATGCAGTGATGAAGACCAAGACAAGGAAACAATTGAAGGAATTCTGAGTAATCTTAATTGATGCTTTATGACTTTTTCGTGTAAGACCCAGAGGTGCCTGCCACAACACATTTCATCATGGAACCATATTGTGAGGATGCACTATCAGAATAAGAGAATCTGCTGCTACAAGAATTACTTTTTTTTTGTTATAAGCCCACAAGGACTCCAAAATGTGACCAGGCAATGAAGGAAACGAGATAGCTCTTTCCTTCTATTGCACTACCTGGCTCATAGGAGGTGCCCACCAGCTCTTTCTTTATCGAAGCAATTTCTTCTTTCCTGGCAAATGGACTCAGTAGCCGTAGAATTCACACACGTTAAGAAAACATAAGTAAGCCCTACAGTATGTTTCTGTGGCTGATATCTGCCCTCTAGCGTAAGCCAGGTAATAACCTCATGGGCTACAACTGGGTTTTGAAATTCTGAGCTTGGGGTCAATCAGGCCAGAGCTATGGGTTTACTAGCTTTGCTTTGATAAATATCTTTCTCATTCTATCCAAAGGCCTTGCCAATAAATAAAAGGAAGAAGATTAAAGGAGAGAGGATTTAAAGAGTGTGTGAAGAGCAATTCAAAGTCTAGCACTGTTTCTGGAAAACAATTTCAAGTTCAGGTCCAGTAAGGCCACTGCCATACACAGAAGGCAGACAGCACCATTAGACTGGTGAGATTCCTTCTTTGACTTGGGGTCTGCCCTACTGAGCAACTACCCACTGTCCATCTCTCTGCTGAACCCCAAGCTCAGCTGTCTGACTGTCTAATTGGACATCTCGTAGCTTCATATATCCAAAGCCGAACTTCTGATCCCCTGCTCCACTTGGTCTGTCCTTTAGTTGTTAAGGCCCAAAACCAGGAGTTCATCCTTGACTTCTCTCTTTCTCTTACATCCCTAGGTATTTCCTAATCAATCAGGAAATATCTTTGTCCCTTCTCTTCAAAATGGATCTCATTTTCAGTACCCTATAATCATTTCTCATCACCTCTTGATTGGGTTATTAAAATAACTTTCTCATTGATTTCCCTGCTTCCAAAAACTTGCTTTCTTAGAGTCTATTTCCAATACAGTATTAGAGAGATTATTTAAACACCTAAGTCACATCACATCATTCCTTTGCTCAAAACCCTCCAATGGCTCCCCAACAAGGCCTTGTGTAATGGAGCTCCCTGCACCTTTCTGGCCTCACCTTCCATTGCTCTCTCCGCCTCAGTTATTTTGCTCCAGCCACACTGGCCTCCTCTTTATTCACTAAACACCCAGACTTCTCCAACCTCAGGGCCTTTGCCCTGGTGGTTCTCTCTGCCTGGAATACCCTTCTCCCAAACACCCACATGGCCTGCTCCCTTAGTCCCTTGCAAGTCTGTACTCAATTGGCACCATCCTAATTAGAGAGAGCTACTCTAACCAACATATTTAAAACTGCACTCTATTTCCCTTATCTTGCTTTGTGCCTCCACTGCATGTATCTCCTCTTAACACGCTATCATCTTATTCACCGTGTGTATTGCCTTTTTTCTCCCTACTAAAATATAATCACTGTGGGGGCAAGAAATAGGTCTGTTCTCTTCACTGCTGAATTGCCAACACATAGAATAGCGTCTGGCACGTGGCAGGTGCTCATTAGATATTTGTCAGCTGTCCGAACGCTGAACATTGTATAACTGACCAGACTGTCTCCCTTGCATTGGTTATGAGAAAGCTCTGAGTGAAGCATGTGGTACATCTTTAGCGAGGATGCAGGTTTGCAGGGTAGGCATCAGCTTTATTCCTGGCTTTGTTTGTTTTTGCTTTTCTTTCCCACTGATTTCTGTTGTACTTTCTAAGACAAGGGAGAGGCATATATTAATACAAATACACGCACAGTGTCAGTTTTATCATTTACATATCAACAGTATCACAACTTGTTAAATTCTGATTACAGGCTAGTAAGACAGAACATTTCTTCAAGTGAATATTAAGGCCCGGGCATATGATAAGTGCTTTTCATGCATTACTTTGTCAAATCCTTATGACAATCCAATGATGTAGACACTTTGACACTTCTGATATCTTCATTTTTTGAGATGAGGAAAGCAGGCTTAGAATGGATTACATAACTTGCTTACAGAGCCACATTTGTAAATGACCCCAGGTCAGTCTGATAGCAAACTGGGTTGAAGTTTTACACATTTTGCTTCACTGCTTTCACTGATGTTTGTCCTTGCATCTCCCCTTCCTCTCCAACATAGTGTTAAATGATCCATTTTTGGACTATTCAAACTTTATAACCATTAACTCCGATTAATTGTGTGGATGGACTTATCTTCCTTGGAAAGTTGCACTAAATAAGACATAACAAATACCTCCTCTTTGGAACAATTAGTCAAGAGCTAAGAAATAAAACAGAGCTTCGTCAACCCACTGAATATATATTCCCCAAAATATTTATTCACATGGAGTTTACATTTTTCTTCTCAGGAAACATAACCATTTTATAACAACAGGGTGTATTAACAGCTCAAGTGGTCTGCATGGAGCTGAGGTTTGCCACCATGCTGTGTGTGGCATACACAGAGGCAGCAGGCAGCCTGATGGCCAGTGGGATTCCCCACTGGTGGTCAGGCCCCAGCCAAGTTGCTGTCCCTGTCTGCAAAATGAAAAGCTTGAACTGGATGGCCTTAAGGGTGATTTTCAGCTCAAAAATCCCAATATCCTAACCCTCAAGCTTGGGTTAGATCCATCTCCTCTGTGCTCTTCGTGTAACTCAGCACTGAGCCCAGTCTATAGTAAATCCGCCACCCCTAATCCTAGCCGGTGACAGAAGGAGACCAAGTGTCCCTGGGTCTCTGCCTGCCTCCAGCACCTTGGGCAGGGCCTGGCATGTAGGAGTTGTTTAATATATGTTTGTGAAATGAACAAATGAATGAAAACAAGCATACATGGTCTACTCCTCTATTCCTTTCTCTTAGGTGACTTGGGTTTATTGTGTGAGCCATTTTGGCAGAAGTTAGACTTCATGTAACCCCATAATGAATTCCTGTCTACTAGATCACTCTAATAGGCAAAACATACCGCAGCTACCCTCTGCCGGTTTCAGAGGTTGGGGTAAATATCAAACTGGTCCCTGGCCCTCCTGCTTAAATGCTGTGGCTCCTAACCACTCTCTGTGACTTTGCTGCAGCTATACATATCAAGGCCTCCAGTGGGCCATGGTACTTCTCGGTCCATGGCCGAGGGATGATGCAAAAGCTACATCCATGCAGAAGATCCCCTTCATATTTGGATTGTTTCAAAGATAAGAGCATCTTATAATACAAGGGGAAAGAAACTTCAGAATGTCACAGGCAAAGTCTTAGGAAGTGAAGATATAAAGCCAAAGTAGGAGTAAAATGTTTGCACTTGCCATGAGGTTAACATTCTTAACTTGAAAAAAGTCAAGGTCAAACATAATTCATCAAATGTAATTCAGAGTCACTTGCCTTTAACGGAAGTGATTCCGCAAGTCTCCCTTCAGGTTTTAAGATTTATTATCAAAAGCATAATAAAGTGTCCTATGTTTATACATCTGCTGAAACATGTTATGAAATCCAGTACACTGTAGGCCCTGGGATAGGGCAAGGAGCCATTGTCCCTCTTTGCAGGTGAGAAACTGCATCTCTGAGGAGCCAGTCACTCATCCAAAGTGCATCCTGCTTGGTGTTTCTAGCTGTTACCGTCTTCTGGCTGAGGACCAATGCAAAACCCCAGCAGTACCTCTTGTCAAGGCTAGCTGATGCTTATGCAGGTATGACTTAGGTTTTGCAATGATGAAACCAAAGCACCTTGGAAGCATTTTCCCTCCCCAGCTGACTGACTTCATGCCAACTAGTCTGCAGGGTTCTACTCCACAGTTTCTAACAGTGCTTCTTAAGATTGGAAAACAAATGCACAGATGTTACTGCTTAGCTATTGTCCTTTTAGACATGTGCACTTTTTAAACCTCATTTCAGTCTCTCACATTGCAAAGAAGCTTGGGCAGGGCAAACAAAATATTAGCTGAGGGGTCAGTAGACTTGAGGCTCAGTCCTGGCTCCTCCACTTGTTAGCATGGTGCTCACCCCTCCAGACTAGCATTTGCATAGGAATAAGACCTGCCTATCCTAGCCTTTGCATGGGAGTAAGGCCTGCCCATCTCACAGGGATGTGAAGAAATGAAATAGCATGAAGGGTGCTTTACAAATTGCCAAGCATTAGAAGTGTCAAATACTGGAGGTCAACAAACAAAAAGGGAAAGAATCAGAAACAGAAAGAGAGCATGTGTGCATGGTAGGGGAGTACAGCCTTCAGAATTAAAACTATGTGACAAGTTGGCTTCATGCAAAAGCTCAGAAGAAGCTGTGTCCAGTCTTCTGAGGACAAAATGAGAATAAATATCAAACACATATGCCTTTCCCTATTTTTTTCCTCTTTAAAATTGACCCAGCTCTTAGAACAGGACAAAGGAAGGGAAACAGAGCAGTTCTAAGAAAAGATGAAGCAAGCAAAATACCCTTCATGTGTGAGTTCAGAACATTTTAAAGATTGGAATACATGAAATTTTGCAATGCTTGCAAGTGGCGTTTCTTGCAAAGTCCTGTGAAGGGGGGCATGCTGCCTCCCCACTGTAGGACTGTAGGTTCATAGTCATGAAGGCCATATAGCATGCTGCGATGCCAACCAGTGCCAACAGGGCAAAGAGGAGGTAGTTCACTCTCTTCCTCTCAAGCTCTCACTCCCACTCATTTGGACTCATGCTACTTTCATTTTCATATTGCTTTACCTATGGATGGGCCTCACTCTGGCTGGCTCGGAAGGTCTTGCTATTCAAAGGGCACCCGCATGAAATATAGTTTTACTGGACAAAGGGAAAAAAAATTGTTCCAAGTGTTGGAAAAGGTCCAAACTTTTAAGCTACAAATCCCTGGAAGACTTGTCACTAACGGGGCCAGTTCCTGGTTTAGATCCATTCTTCCAGCACCTGGCCCACTCCACTCAGCCCAGCCCTTCCTCAAGGAGCTGCTGAGACTCCCCTAATTAAATAAGAGATCCCTCGGAATGTCTTCTGCTGACCTTCCCTGAGGAGCTCACGACACAGCCCAGCTTCGTGATAGGCGATCATTCGAGAAATAGTGGGTTAGAGTCTTTTGGGAGACAGAGGTCAATACGGGGTAACTTACAAAATCGGGCGGGACTGGAAATCTTCCTGGTTCATCCTCTCGGACTGGCGGATTTTCAGGATCTCAGTGTAGCTCAGGTTCTGCAGTTTGCTCTTGAACTGGTCCAGGGAGCTAGGCTTGGTTGTAAGTGCTCTCATAACCTGCTCCTTCACCACCTGCATTACCTGCAGATGAAAGGAAAACCATCATTTTCCTGGGGGCTGAACTTTCCCGTTCAGGAAAGCCTTTCCGAGTTAAGGGCTCCCTGCTTCCCTGGTGCCCTCTGCATGCATGCTCAATGTGAACCTTGAGTGTGCTTTTCCAAAAGAGTAAACTTCCATCATGCCCATCTTTCATTTTCTCTTGTATTGCCGGAACACAAGAAAGGAAATGGACTGATAACAGGGAACTGGTGGGGTGGGGAAGCTCGGGGTGGGAGGTGGACTCCACTTGCTTGACATATTATGTGACTGCTGCTGACTCAACATTGTAAACAATGCCAACTCAAGAGTCAGGAATGAACGAAGGCCAAGCAGCAGCTAGAGCCCTGCATAGTAATTATTTTCTTCCAGGAGAAAATCACTGAGATACAATTAACTGTGGAAGTTTGGTTGGCGCTGCTTCAAATGAATGTGAACAGATACTCACACCCCGCTCTCCCAGACTGCTTTCCCCATGTAGTTAGGGCCTGAGTGTTCATACTAATTATGCATTTGGAAATGTACATGTGGTATTGCCTCTTTGAGCCAGGCGCTAAAAAAAGAGGTTTATTAAATTAGAACAGACATATCCCACTGGAAGCTTCAAGAAAAAAGAAGAATATGGTAATTTTCTGCCTCAGGACAGGGCTAGCCCACAAGGAGGCAATTAACCACTGCCTCTATTAATGTGGGTTCATCTTTATCAGGATGCATACAGCAGGAAAAGACCAGAAAAAACACAGAAGCATCTCAGAGTGGAATCTTGCTGCTGCTTTTTTCACCCTCCATTACAGATGATAGCAACAAGTGATACCATTTATAGGAATCTATGTGCCAGATGCTATGGTAGGTGCTTTATCTATGTTTTCTTTCTTTAGCCACTCAAATCTATGAGGTAGATATTACCATCAATTCCACTTTACATATGAAGAAACTGAGGCTTTGAAACCTTAAGAAACTTCAAAATCATACCATTGGTCATTAAGTGGCTGAGCTGGGATTGGATATCAGGATTGTAAACACCCGACTATGCTGCCACCCATGCCACCATTCTTCGTGTCATTTGGGAACTTAAAAATAAGGCAAACGACAGATGCACCCCTGCTATATGTTGAATTCTGTGCTAGGCAGTTTGCTCTTTATCACCTTATTTAATCCTCCCTCCAATACAGTGGAGGTGCCATTACCACTATGTAAAAGAAAAGGAAACTGACTGAGAAAGGATTGATGACTTGCCCCAAATCACACATATGTAGTTGAATCCTAGGATCCCAAGCAACCCAAGAGGATGGATTTGGCATAGGCTAGATGTTGAACAAATACGCATATGATGTATTTCTTGCCTTCTATGAACTAATGGTCTCAGAAAGGTGGACATGGCCAAGGATCATTACAGTAGAAGTGCAGAAACGATAGAGATGACAGGCTGATGGACTTTGTTGGCAGGTGGATAGGCTTTTCATTGAAGACATTTCATGGGAAGGGAAATAAATGAATAATCTGGAACACCACTGTGTATCAGCTGCTTTGAACCTGGGTTGCATCTGAATTGGAATTAGTTGCATAAGCATTGTTTCATGCCCCCAGCATAATGTCATACAGGCAAATTTCCAGTTGATCTGTCACCAGATCTGTTTTTTTTTTTTTAACTTAGGCAAAATGCCAAATTTGGAGTGCTTGACAAATTTGGAAATTGTGACCGTCTAACATCATGTGGCAAAAATGATTAAATTTGGTCAAAGTTGAGCTATAATGCTTTGCTGTATCATGTGAGGGGCACCATAGGGGGTGCTGCTTTGCCCACTTAGAGAGACTCAGAATTGAGCCAAGGAGATCATTACTGTTTGCCAATGATATCTGGCTTTCTTGTGGGAGGTTGGACATGATGAGAGACAAAGATATAGTGATAAGAATACCAAAAATGAAGATATGATTTTCAAACAGAATCAGGTTAAAGCTAAGAGTTTTAGAGCGATCTCCACTCCCCTCCTTTTACAGATGAAGAAGGTGATTCCCTCATGTCATGTGTTTCTTAAGGGGATGTCACAGAGATAATGGTGATTACACCACATCTGCCTAGACACAGCAATGAGCCAAAGTGGTCACGTGACCTGAGCTGACCAATCAGCATCCTTCCCCAGACTTTTCTGCCTCAGACTTTTCTGTCTTGAGGTAGACCCGAAGCATGCTCTCTTTCCCCCAAATTGAGAACTGTAAGACTATGTCCCTTCATATTTAGGAAAGGGGAAGATAATGAGACTAATGCCAGTAGAAGCACACAGAAGACAATAGATATGTGTGTGTGTGTGTGTGAGAGAGAGAGAGAGAGTGTTAATAGTTAAGCCTTGTTCAACTGTAAAGGTAATTCAAGTCCTGCATTTGGTTGTTTGGTTACAAGAGCTTTTTTTTTTTTTTTTTTTGGAAGAGGGCTTGGATGATGGCTTGACTGTTCCTGTCACTTGCAACCAAAGAATCCCAACAAATACATACAGTGATGTCCAAGAGGAGGACCAGCTGTGGGGCTGAGATTGTCCAGGGAAAGGGAGGAGTAGGAGAGGGAAGCTGAGTAGAAATAGCCAAGTTAATTCAACAAGTGACTTTTAAAAATCGCCTGCATTTACAGGCTCATGGGTGCACCTCCGCATGGAAATCATGATGATCCCTTACGGAATGTGGGGAACTCTTTAACTCCTACTTATAGATTATGCTTAAAATCCACTCCTAGAGCCCCATTCCTCTAGCTTAAGACTTTGATCCTTGCTAGATGCAAGAATACATAAATAGAATAATCCTTTGAATTTTCCCCAAATCACTTATACTTCAGTTTGAAGAAAGTATAGAACTTTTCCTAAGACTAGGTTGATAGGGAGAAGGAAAAAGCAGGCACCTGGTCCCAGAGGAAGGGATGTAAGCAGTGGGTATAAAGCACAGGACAGAGGTTGGTGGAGTGAAAGACTAGCTTCACCTACTTCACTTCACAGTTTTGTTGGCACCAGCCCTGAGAAGTTCTATGGTCACTCTGCATGTCAAGGAAAATAATCTCAGTGAAAGGTATCATTAATTTTTTTAAGAAGACAAAAGAGTTACATAAGTCAAACTTTCCTCTGCGCCTTTGCAATTTAGCTACAAGGTTTACAACTGATAGCTTTATGTCTCTGTTAATGTTTCACATGTGCAAGACATTCACAAATCAAGACATTCACAACCACCATCCTTAACTCTATCTTCCTTAGAAAACATCACACCTTTTACTATTTGTTTGAAAAACCCACAGACGGTGTTGTGGAGGCATCAGAAAATCAATGGAATTAAGCTTTTAGTTATAGTACGTGCTTTGCCACAGACATCAAAGAAAGTACGCTCTTAGAATCTGCATTTGCTGTTGGTATTGCCCCCTCATTCAATCGATGTCTGGACCCTGTCAGTGGTGTGTTTCTGGAGTCTTCTTAGCCCATATTCTCTGTAATAATGTTACAAATTACAAAAAAAGTGAGAGTCCCACAAGACATTTGTACTTCAAATTGAGAAATCCTTTTGGCTCCTTGGAAGACCGGGTTAAAGGTACGAGCATAGGAGGTTCCTAAATGGAATCAAGCATTCTGGCAAAGTCCACCTATGTCCCTGCTCTCATTGTTGGGCATGTAAATGTGCTCCTGTGTTTTATCACAAGACCTACTGAGTCTACATGTGTTCCTCATCCAATCAGTTCTCCCATCCTGCCTTTAATCCACAAGCTTCATCCAGCATCATTTATCCATTTTTTTCAACAAATGTTTTGTGAGCACCTACTCAGTGCAAGGAATGATGAGACACTGCAGGCCTTGCGCCGGATGAGCTCTCAGCCTGGGACAGTGGGAAGACATACACTTGCCTCACCCAAGGGAAGACGTGATGTCACAGGGGAGCAAGGGGTCAGGTGTTCACTCCACGAACACTTATGGAGGCCCTCCCAAAGGGCTGAGGGCATAGCACCAGGACTTTAGCTGGGGCTGGTGGAAAGGTCACATGCAAACAGGCTGAGGTGCAGGGGAGGGGCCATTCTTGGTGACAGCAGCAGCCTGAGTGAAGTCTTGGAGGGGGAAGGAGAACATAGCCGTGGGTTGGGAAGAGTGTTCGGCAGTTTTGTTTAGTTGGAAAAATCAGGTGGAGCTGCAAGGTGTGGTTGAAAAGCAAGCTGGGTCAGATGGGGGATGGCTTTGATGGCTAAAATGAAAAATTTGGATTTTTTTTTTTTGTTTCTGTAACTAAGGATATGTCACCAGAGGACTTTGGGGGTCTGTGAAGGAATTTGATAATATAAAGTATGTTGGAACGCTTACAAAGAAGTCATTATTTCTGCTCTAGTTGGGGTAAGGAGGGGATGTTACAGAAGTCTCCATGGCTGAGACAATATTTTGCTTGGAGGATGAATGGGAGTTATTCAGGTGAAGAAGAGGGAGAAGGGAATTCTAAACAGAAGGACCAGCATGAGCAAAGGCAAGGAGGTAGGACGTACATGCTTCAAGCATGGAAGAAAACATGCTTTTGGAGTCTACATTAGTAGCTTTTGGCAAACAGACAGGTACTAGCTGCAGTATGGCTTCTCAGCCTTTAGAACCCAACACGTGATTTTGAATCCAGCATGCATGTTTCCTGGGGCTTTGACCTTCCTCAAGACACTCAATCTCTCTCAGACTCATTTTTACTATCTTTATTCATTTTTTTTTTTTTACCACTCCTGAACTAGGAGTACTAATCATTTAGAATTCAAACAGTTGTAAACTGGATAATGCCCCACATCCTTTACGGTACATACTGGATATCTAGCAAATGTAAGTTCCTCTTCCTAAGCCTTAGTTTGCTCATTGTAGAGTGCTAGTAATAATATGAAATTCACAGCGTTGTGAAATCTAAAGAAAATATTATAGCCAAAGTACCTAATATACTGAAGAGAACATATTAGACACTCAACCAATGTCAGCTCACTTACAATCCCAGAAGGAATT